AGATCCTATACACGCTTTGCTAAGTTTATAACTAATATTTTGTTTCTCTGATGCTATTCTATATGGTGGTGCTTTTAAATTTGGGGGTTTTTAACTGTTCATTGCTAATATATAGAAATATGATTGACTAAACGTTCTTTCAGCAACAGACCATTACAACTACAACAATATAGCTATAACTCTACATTAAATTATCTGTGACAACTTACAGCCAAAATTCCAAGTCAGGGTCCTAGTTCAGTCACTCTTCAATGCGTATGTTACAAAAGGATTCCATGATGATTGTTCTGTTTACTTAAGATCTACTGCATGTGTTGGGCTCTGTATTAAAAGTGATCTAAACTGTCGATGCGTTAATTCAACAGTTAATGCTCATTGCATGCTTAGTTCTGTGCCGAGGGCCATAAATACACTAATTGACGTTTTTATGAACAGTTCTGACCCCAGATTCTGAGAGGTAGAACACAACTTACCAACCTCATGTGTTCCTTAAAAGATTTAAATTACTTTTCCCTCAAAAGATTGGCGACCAATGTATTCATTATAAAAACCACCAAAATATATGCTCTTTCTTTTAGCGTTCAAAGCTGGTACGCATGATAAACATGTGAAATACTTCATTAACTATGTCAGAGCATAAATAAGTTTTAATAATATCAGACCTGCATATAGGACCGAACGTTCATTTATTTAAAAACCTTTTTGTAAAGTTTAAGAAACTTTTCTAGTTTAATCACAGAATGGGTGAATCAAAGTGCACGATGTTTCTGTGACTCAAAATCCAACACAGCCTGCAGAAAAATGGTATATAAAAACAAAAGTAAAGGGACTTCTCCAGTGGTTAAGACTCTGCACTTCCACTGCAGGGGGCGTGGGTTCGATCCCTGGTCAGAGAACTAAGATCCCACATGCCGTGCAGTGCGGCCAAAAAAAAAAAAAAACACAAAAAACCCCAAAGTCAGGGCAAATTGTATTAAGTTCTGAGCTGCTTTAATTATTTTTGGCCATTAGGGTGGTATCTAATAAATAACTTCACTTGGCAGATACATTAGACACAAAGAAATTTTTTCTTAAAATAAGTAATTTAAAGTTTCCTAGCTCATCTGTTTTCTTTTTTCATTCTTAATTTTATACTCTCTTTTATTGGAGAACCATGTGTAAGGTGGGCCAGCGGTGAGCGAATCTGATTGGTCTGTGAGCTCAGAAAGGCGCTGGCTGAGAGACAACACAGCACAAGGAGAACCAGATTATTTATGTTCTGGCAACCCCAGCAGAGAGAATAAGAGTAAGGACGGGGGCGGGAGGGTCATCAGTTCCTGAAACGCTCCAGCGCTTCCCCTTGAGGTTGACGTCTTCAAGTTCAAATGCGCATGGCGTCCGCTTCTGCCCACGCCATCGTACCCACATCATAACTCAATCCCCCGGGTTTCCTCTGTGGGGAACCAGAATCCTGTGAGGTCCCCAGCCCGGTGGAGGAGAGGGAGACTCAGCCCGTGGCCACCAGGCCTCTGCTGCACCCTCCACCTTTCTGGGAGGCTGTGAATGTGCCGCACAGAAAGCAGATCACATGCTGAGTCGCCCCAGGTGAGCTGAGAAAGCTGTGCCCAGCAGAGGCCGCAGGAAGGGCACTGCAGACAGCAGAACGCGCGGCCGGGACGTCGGGAGGGTGGGTGTCGGGCAGCGGGGGGAGCCTGGGAGAGGCAGAGAGCCACAGGGAAGTGGGAGGGGGCCTTGACTCCAGTCAGGACCCGCAGAAGGATGGACTTTGAGCTCGAAGGCTGAGCAGGGCACGAAAAGTCACAGGGAAGCAGGAGGCGTGGAGGGCACGTGGACACCTCGTTCAAAGGACATCGAGGTGGCTGGTCTACTCAGAGCCAAGACGAGGTCTCGGCAAGTGGACAAAACCAGGCCATGCCATGTGGTGCCAGGTCTCGGGGGCCGACTGGCTGGAGAAAAGATGTTCAGTTTGTGAAACAGGCGCAGGGAACGGTTGTGGGGAAGGACAGGAGAGCATCCTTTGCAAACCCGTCTTGGCTGGAAAGGGAGGGGCCCGAACAGAGGGCTACCCCAGCCTTGGCCTTAACGTCAATGTGGGGAGAGGACAAATGTAAGGAATATTTTAAAGAAAAACCTACAAGGTTTGTGAACTGAGTCAGTGGGGGAAATAGAGCAGAGAAGGAGGCCAGCGTGACTGCAGGGCTTCAGCCTTGGTGGATGGGGGTAGGAGGACTGCCAGCTGGAGACAGGCATAGACATTAACAGTAACTAGTGCCGGGGACAATGCACCTGTAACTAGTACCAGAGACAATGCACCTGTAACTAGTACCAGAGACAATGCATCTATAACTAGTACTGGGGACAATGCACCTGTAACTAGTACCAGAGATAATGCACCTGTAACTAGTACCAGAGACAATGCACCTATAACTAGTACTGGGGACACTGCACCTGTAACTAGTACCAGAGATAATGCACCTGTAACTAGTACCAGAGACAATGCACCTGTAACTAGTACCGGAGATAATGCACCTGTAACTAGTACCAGAGATAATGCACCTGTAACGAGTATCAGGGATAATGCACCTGTAACGAGTATCAGGGACAATGTACCTGTAACTAGTACCAGAGATAATGCACCTGTAACTAGTACCAGAGATAATGCACCTGTAACTAGTACCAGGGACAATGCACCTGTAACTAGTACCAGAGACAATGCACCTGTAACTAGTACCAGAGACAATGCACCTGTAACTAGTACCAGAGATAATGCACCTGTAACTAGTACAGGAGATAATGCACCTGTAACTACTACAGGAGATAATGCACCTGTAACTAGCACCGGGGACAATGCACCTGTAACTAGTACCGGAGATAATGCACCTGTAACTAGTACCAGGGACAATGCACCTGTAACTAGTACCGGGGACAATGCACCTGTAACTAGTACCGGGGACAATGCACCTGTAACTAGTACCAGAGATAATGCACCTGTAACTAGTACCAGGGACAATGCACCTGTAACTAGTACCGGAGATAATGCACCTATAACTAGTAGTGGGGACACTGCACCTGTAACTAATACCAGAGATAATGCACCTGTAACTAGTACCAGAGACAATGCACCTGTAACTAGTACCAGAGACAATGCACCTATAAGTAGTACTGGGGACAATGCACCTGTAACTAGTACCAGGGACAATGCACCTGTAACTAGTACCAGAGACAATGCACCTGTAACTAGTACCAGAGACAATGCACCTGTAACTAGTACCGGAGATAATGCACCTGTAACTAGTACAGGAGATAATGCACCTGTAACTACTACAGGAGATAATGCACCTGTAACTAGCACCGGGGACAATGCACCTGTAACTAGTACCGGAGATAATGCACCTGTAACTAGTACCAGGGACAATGCACCTGTAACTAGTACCGGGGACAATGCACCTGTAACTAGTACCGGGGACAATGCACCTGTAACTAGTACCAGAGATAATGCACCTGTAACTAGTACCAGGGACAATGCACCTGTAACTAGTACCGGAGATAATGCACCTATAACTAGTAGTGGGGACACTGCACCTGTAACTAATACCAGAGATAATGCACCTGTAACTAGTACCAGAGACAATGCACCTGTAACTAGTACCAGAGACAATGCACCTATAAGTAGTACTGGGGACAATGCACCTGTAACTAGTACCAGGGACAATGCACCTGTAACTAATACCAAAGATAATGCACCTGTAAGCAGTACCAGAGACAATGCACCTGTAACTAGTACCAGAAACAATGCACCTATAACTAGTACAGGGGACAATGCACCCGTAAGTATTTTCAGGGACAATGTACCTGTAAGTAGTATCAGGGACAGTGCACCTGTAACTAGTACCAGGGACAATGCACCTGTAACTAGTACCAGGGACAATGTACCTGTAAATAGTACCAAGGACAATACACCTGTAAGTAGTATCAGGGACAGTGCACCTGTAACTAGTACCAGGGACAGTGCACCTGTAACTAGTACCAAGGAGAATTCACCTATAACTAGTACCAAGGAGAATTCACCTATAACTAGTACCAAGGACAAGGCACCTGTAACTAGTACCAGAGATAATGCACCTGTAACTAGTACCAGACACAATGCACCCGTAACTAGTACCAGAGATAATGCACCTGTAACTAGTACCAAGGAGAATGCACCTATAACTTGTACCAAGGACAATGCACCTGTAACTAGTACCGGAGATAATGCACCTGTCACTGGTACCAAGGAGAATGCACCTATAACTAGTACCAGGTACAGTGTACCTATAACTAGTGCCAGGGACGATGCACTTGTTACTCCAGTGACAGCCCAGTCAGGGGTGCAGGTATCACCAGTGAAACTAAGCCCATTAAATGCATTAAATTCCCGAGAAGCCCAATTTAGACTTTTCGGTGGCAACAGTGTCTTCTGAACAGTAAGGGTCCTTTCGAACCACAAGCACCGAGCTGGCGATGGAGGAGGTGTGCACGAGGCTTTGGCGCATTTACCTGACGGGCTTTCAAGGGATTCCTCTGACCTTCCAGACATTTCCTGATCCCCTCATTCTCACGACCTCCCACACTCCCATAGCAGGGGCTGTGCACAAGCACCGTCCTCTCTGCCAGGGCTCCAGGCGAGTCCCCCTCCTCCTGGGACCACCAGCTCGCAGGCTCTGTCAGTGCTTCTGAAGGTGGAGCCCACGTCCGGGGAGGCTGGCGATGCTCCCCCCGAGCTTGGCCTTCCCGTCGGGAGGGCTCCCGAGGGGGCGTTTGCAGTGGCCAGGAGGTCAGCCGAGGAGGGACCTGTGGGGACAGCACCGCCCAGACCCCACCCGCCTGGCTACATCCTGTGACGTCAGCAGCTTCCTAGCATCAGGTCTCCAAAAGTATCCAGATCCACGGAGGAGCAGAGGCAGCTTCCCCAGACAGCAGAGGGTCCAGCCTGCCCTGAGACCACGCGTCCTGTCTTTCAGGATGGACACCACGCGGCCAGAGCCACCCACTATGGCTCCCTGCCCCAGAAGGCGCAGCACGGGCGGCCCCAAGATGAAAACCCCGTAGTGCACTTCTTCAAGAACATCGTGAGTGGCAGCCACGGTGGGAGGGGACTGATTAGAGGGGTGAGGGGCGTCCAGCCCTGCCCCAGTCCACGAGGGCCCGAGTATGTCCCCAGGTGACACTGAGCTCTGATCCACAAGGGGTCTGAGTATATCTCCATGTGACACAGCTGTAATCCATGATGGGGGCTCTGAGTATATCCCCAGGTGACGCCTCCCACTTCCTCAGGGTGAGGTTGGCCTCGGGAGCCCAGGGCCAGCACCTGGTCCCAAGGTCTGAGCTGCATCTGCAGCTTAACTTTGTGTTAAAACTTTGAGTTCTACCAAAGAACTCACTCCTTTTGAGACTAAGCTAGTAGGAGATGCTTAGTTCAAAAATACAAGCTTTGCAAAACTCTGGAGACGGTAAGAAGATCAGGGGTGCGGGGGCAGGAGGGATGAATAGACTAGGAGTGCCCGGGATTTGGGGGCAGCGAGTCTCCTCTGAATGATCCCGTGACAGCGGGACACCTCATACATTTGTCAAAATCCACAGAATGTACAACACAGAGTCCACAGACCTTGGTTAATGTATTGACATTGGCTCAGTTGTAACAAGTGGACCACACGAGAGCCAGGGGTGCTGTGCACAGGGCAGAGGGGTCATGAGAACTGTCTGCAATTGCTGTGCAAGTTTTCTAGAAACCTAAAACTTCTCTAAAAAATAACATCTTAAAAACAAAACCACAGGCTCTAATTATAAACTTTCTGTGCAGCAGACATCTAAGATGGTATTTTCATGTTGATTAGGGAGCTTTAGGAGTCGCACACCTGAGGGTGTCCTTTTTGAGGCTCGAATACCAGGGGCCCTTGACTGCCCACCCCAGAGAGGATGGTGGTGACGCTCACCGTCTCCATCACCTGCGAGGGGGTGTGTCATGGGAGCACACGCCAAGAGGAATCGCCTCTGTGGCTGCAGAGCCTTTGGTGTGTTTCCCATCCTCTCAAACACTTTCTGTGTGCCCTGGAAGATCGAGGTAGCATTGGATACTTTCAAATTCTCAAATTGTCTATTTCTCTCTCAACTAAAACAGAATGGGGACGCCAGGCAGAGACTGAGTGGGGGGCTTCTTATACCAATAGATACCAGACCCTCCCAGCAAGCAGGAGCTAGCAGGGAACTAGCAACAAGCCTGGTGACAACACGAGGTGACATGGTGACCACAGGAGGCTCTCACGAGGAGGGTCAGGGCTGCTGTGAAGCAGGGACCCCACCCCCGCTCACCATTCTCCCGTGTCTTTGCAGGTGACACCTCGCACACCTCCTCCATCACAAGGAAAGGTAAGACCTCCCAATGTGTTGAGTCATCATCACTTTACAGCCCTTCCCTGAAATCCCTAAACGGATCAAAAGGAGGGCTGGACTCAGAGCTCCCTGACTGCACCCCAAAATGTCTTGTCACGTGGAGCCCATGCAGGACAGGCTGAGCCGCGCGTGACACCCCTTCCCGCCTGCTGCCGTGCAGACAGCGCTCACCATCCCAGCTCCCTTCCCTCTCAACCCCAATCTGAAATCCTCCCTGGGCAGCTCCCCGGGGCCACGGCCAACCACAGGATAGGGCGCGTGTGCCAAAACCTGTTTGCCATCTCAGCACTGTGTTGTCCTGACTGTGTTTCCTGTTTCGTGCAGAGAACGTTTTTCCCACACTGATCACCATGTCCCTCTTTTTCTTTTCCTCACACAGGGGCGAGGACTGTCCCTCAGCAGATTTAGCTGGGTAGGTGACAAATGCACGTCGACCCGTTGCCTCTCCTTCCTCACGGCCACTCAGCTGTTGTGCTCTGTTTCAGTTGCTCTCTGGGCCCACCTTCCTTCCCATCCCACCCAGCTTGTCCCCTGCTGCTTCCGCCGCAGCCAGTCCTTCCTTCCAGCTGGGTTCACGCTCCTGTTTTCATGACCCAGGGCCCAGGCACCAAAGGGCTCCTAGGAGACTCCCCTGGGCTCCTCCCCAGGGAAGGAGCGACTCCACGTATGAGAAAATTCCTGATTTCCTTCCAAAAGGGCAGATGAGGAAAAATGGGTCCCTGCAGCCTGCGTGTGGACCTGTCCAAATAGCCCGCACTCCCTCCCCTGCCAGACGTTGACATTTTGGGGAGAAAAAAATGATTCTGCTAACGAGACAAAAAGATGCTAAATTCAGTCATTCAGTTTATAACCTAAGTGATCCAAAAGATTTTGGCTTGGGTTTTGATTTAGTCATAACTAAAGCTTGGATATCAAGCCATCCAGGAAAACCTTTTTAGGAGTTTCTGAGAAGATTTTAAAGAAGATTAAAATCTTCGTTTAACCCATGAAGATTTTAAATGGCTGATTTGTTCACTTTCTAGTAAAATTTTGTGTCTGAACCAACTTTAAATGCCTATCTATATTTTAACTAAATCTATCGACCATACTTACTAACAAATATTAGATAGAGTTCTTACTTTATAAAATCTCCAGAATAAAAAGAGAACCACTAATCTATAGGCCAGGAACTGTGTCTGTCTTGGAGACACAGTATCCTTAGAAACACATCCTCCAATGTCCTTGGAGACACAATATATCTCTAGTGCAGAGCCTACATATCCTTGATACCCAATTAATAAGCATCATAGAAATCAATGAATGAATTTAGAAAGAAAGAAAAGGAAGGAAGGAAGGAAGGAAGGAAGGAAGGGAGGAGGGAGGGGGGAGCCACCCTCAGAGAAAAGGCAGGGGAGGCTTCCATAAACTGCCCCAACACATCATTACGTTGAAGTATGAACTGAGATATTTGCTGGAACGTTTTATACAAATACGCGTGAGCGTTTTCCTGACCTAATGAATTTGCCGAAAGGTGATGATAACGTAGGGAATCGACACGGGCCAGCCCTCAGGGACAATTAATGATTGACTTTCTGTGCCAGCAGGAGACAAAGATGATGCTGAAGAATGGGACCCACTTTTGACCCAGAAATCTGATTTTAGTAACCGCTTGAGCTGCCTCTAACCTTCTAGGCGTGAACCAGGGCGAAGCCATCGGCGAACGTGGAGTGATGGGAGGGGGAAAGACCATGTTTCTTCCAGTCGTTTAAAGGCCACTTCAGCCCGGCAGCTAACAGCACGGCCTTTGCATGCCTCTCACGTCTCCGTGTTTGGTCCCACTAATGTCTGTTAATTTTCTCTTTTTTTCCAAAGTAAAATCCTGCTCCGTATTCCGTGAGCTGGTTTGTCGGTTTCCTAGAGCCACACGACTGTCTTCCCGTTTGGAGTTCCTGAAAGTCCCACCAGTTTTCTAAACTATGTTGTATGTTTTTTGGTAAATTCTAGGTTGTCCAAAGATATAAGTGACCAAGAGTTTGAAAGGAGAAAATTTAAGCAGATTATTAATCTGAAAACCAATCCTTGAATTTAATTCTCAAAAGCTCTTTATTTTTGGAGAAAACAGCAGAGTAAGAGAACGATTTAGCACTTGCATGGGAAGGCGTGGATCTCGACAACTCTTGTGTCTGTCCTTTGGCTCAGTCCTCTTTAACCACCCCCCCCCCGACCCTGGACCATGATGCAGCGAGCGTGTCCATGGAAACCTCTGGGATTCAGGGCAGTTCTGGGCTCCTCTCGTATGTGGTCTTGGATCTTCACTGCCCCTGTCCCTTGCACACTTGATAACCCTTGAAACCAACCTTCACGTGAACGTAGCTGAGTGGCCAATGTCTGTTCCCAAACCTGGGCTGAAGAGAAGTAGCTTGGGGGTGCAGGGCAGGGGGTGTGCCTGGACAGATGGCCCTGGTTCAGCTTCAGTTCCAACACGAGAGGGGTGGACTGGAGGAATCTGGAAGCTTCTGGAGCCTAAACCAGAGGGATCGATCCCATGGTTTCCCAAGCTCCTAAGGCACCCTCGTGAAATTGGAAAGCGCTGCAGCCTGAGGCAAAGGGTTCTGGGGTCTCGATCAGGAGACGGTTTTATTTTGTGTATAGAATTCTCAGGAGAGGCCAGACAGAGAGCTTCCTACTTCTCGTTGGTGAAACCTGAAGTGAGGACCTCAGAGCCTGTCCGTTGCATAAGATCCGTGACACAGACAGGATGTGTGGTTCACCCCTGGAGGAATGTCGCACCCCAGGCTGGACACCCGTTACCCCAAGGGCTAACATTCCTTACGTCTGAGCATCAGAGTTTCCCCCATTCCTTTCTTGTGTTCACAGTGGAAGCTTCCCTTTGAAACTGAAGCGCATTAAATGCAGACTGGTCCTCGAGACACACATATCCTTACATTTCAGTCATCACTTGTCAGGGATACGTGTCACCAAGGCCATTTTTCTCCATCTTCCCTGAAGTGAGAGGGGCTCCCGGGGCAGCTGGAGACCAGGCTGGGAGCTGCCGGGGGAACCCCCCTCCCCATAACAACAGCAAGCTCGAAAGTTCAGAGCCGCAGGCTCCATTCTCAGAGCAGAGCATCCATTATCCCCATTTTATAGAAGAGGAAACCAAAGCTCAGAGAGGTTCCAACGCTTGCCCAAGGTCACACAGCCAGGGCAGGGGGTTGCTGAGACCCGTCCAGGTGGCTGGCTCTGGGGCTGTGCCCAGGTGCACGGCCTGGGGGACAGGGCTTCCCAGCCGGGACCCGCCCCCTCCCCTCTACGGTGACCGGCTCCCAGCCCAGAGCCCCTGGAAGGACCCTGGTCCCGGTTCACCGTCCACACTCAGGGCACCCAGGCCGCGGCCAGGAGAGCTGGTCCTGGTCGTCCTGGAGAGGCTCCTCCAGGCTGGAGAATTGGGAATTTTGTCTGTGCACGTTAGAAAGGTAGGAGCCCCCAAATTTCACCAAGTCTGAAGGCTGCTGATGCCTCCAGGGAAGCAGATGGGAAGGGTCTGTGCTGCCCAGGCCGCATGGACAGACTGAGAGCGGCCGTCCTCTCTTGCAGGGAGCCGAGGGCCAGAAGCCAGGATTCGGTTACGGGGGCAGAGCTTCCGACTACAAATCGGGTCACAAGGGCCTCAAGGGGCATGACGCCCAGGGCACGCTTTCCAAAATCTTCAAGCTGGTAAGGCACCTTCTTAAGGCGGGCGGCGCGGGGGCAGGTTCGGGGACAGGGCTGGGACTGCCGGCCTCTGGCTCGTCCCCGCGCCGCTTCTCTGCACTCAGCGCCCCACGTGCCATTCCTGCCCCGCCAAGCGCTTCTCCAGGGCCCGCCTGAACAGGGGCGGCGCTGGGCGCGGCGCCAGGCCGGGGCCCCTCGGGGAGCTTGCGGACGACGGGGTCGCCGTGGTTACAGCCGGGGCCCGGGAGGCACGGGGGCCTGGAAGGTCAGACAGCAGCGCCTCCGTCCCTGAGGGAACCGGCCAAGGGGACACGAGGGGAAGACGGCTGGATGGCCGAGAGGCCCCGGGGACCACGGGCACCCGTCCCGTCGGTTAACCCGGGCGTCACAGCCACGTCCGTCAGCGCGTGACCTGGGGCCCCCGGGCTCCCTGAGGCTCGGCTTGTCCTCCGGACGACGGGGTGACGGACGCGTGGCCGGAGCCGCTGTGACGGTGGAGCGGGCACAACGCCCTCTGCCCGGCCCGCCCCCCCTCCGCGCTGGTGACAAGACGGCCTCGCTCGGAGCACCCGACATCTCAGGAGGGGCTCTGACGCGGGATGGGCGCCACCACCCCGGGCCTGAGCCGCACGGAAGAGGGAAAGGAAGGTTCTGGACTCGGACGGGGGCCGGCAGCGGCCCTTCCCCCCAGGCCTCTCAGAGCCTCCCTCTCGGAGACGCGAGGCTGCAGCTCCCTCCCGGGGGAGGTCGGGGGCGCCCGCGTCCAGGGCTGCCTTCTGACCGAGGCCAAGCTCACCTGTGAGGAAGCCGGACGGCCTGGAGACGGGAGGGCCGGGAGCCGGGCTGGGCCTGGAGCAGACGGGCTGAGGGCGGCGGGCTCCGCCCCTGCGTCCTGCGCCGCTGGCCGCCCGACGCCGAGGCGACTTCCAGGTGGCAGGAGAGACGTCTGTGGCCTCCGTTCGCTCGCCCTCTGCCGGTCGCAGGAGCGTCGCAGGCGCGTCCCGGGCCCGCTGACGGCTCCTCGTAGGAAGGTCACAGACTCCGGGGCACGAGGCGCAGCCTCGGAAACATGCCGCCACCGCCTGAGGCTTGGGGCCCCGAGAGCCTTGGGAAGGGGCTTCGCGGCGGTGGCGGAGGCCTCGGGACTAACACAGTGACGGGCTTGCTCCGGGCGTGGCGCCGGGGGCCCCGGCCCGGCGGCAGCCCTGTGGCCCCGCGGGCTCTGCGCCGGGCTTTGCTGAGCGCCTGCTCGGTGCGTCGTCACGTGCCGGCGAAGCCTTACGCGCAGGCCGCCGCCTCTTAAAGGAGCCGTGTCGTCCTGTTGGGCGGGCGACAGAAAACACACGGTGCATGCTGGCGGGGAGGCGGGATGGGCTGAGCGCGAACGTGCCCCTCTGTGCCCTCCAGGCCATCGGGATTCCAGGCGGGGCGCCAGACAGGGCCCGGCGGAGCGGGTGGCGGGCGCAGGGGCGCGAAGGGGGCAGGGGCTGGCCTGGCACGGGGACAGGGCTCCCGGCTGACCGCTGACGGAGCACGGGGAGGCCTGGCCGGGTCCCGGAGGAGGGAGGCGGCTGCGGCAGCGGCACCGAGTGACCGGTGGGAGGGGTAAGGGGCTCCCCCCACAGAGGGTCCCGGGACCCTCCTGAGCGCTCTGACCCTGGCCCTGAATGGGGAGGTCCCCGGGATCTAGTGACACGGTGTGACTTATGTTCTAATGTTGAAAGACCATCTGGCAAAAACTAACAAAAACGGGACCGGATTTTGCACTTCCTGGACTGGAGAGCAAGGAAGACCCTGTGGATTTCCGCGGCTGCCCATCCGGGGCTTTGACGGCTGAGCCCAGGTTCTAACCACGTGTCAGCTTTTCAGGCTTAAACCTGGAAGGGGGTTGGGAGTTGGGATGACCCCGTGGAGCCACGGCGAGCCTACCGTGCCGCTGGGGCCGTGTCCACGCAGATCTGAGGCTCCAGGAGGGCACTTGCCATCCCTGGCACAGAACCGTGTTCACAAGGCAGCTGGGCAGGGACAAACTTCACCATATTCGGGTCCCATGTTTTCTCGTCAGAGTAACAGCCCAGCCTTCACTTCCGCTGACTCTTCATCCAAACAGGCCATCACTTCCCTGCCGACATCCAACTACTACCAAAGTCCTGACTGCTAAGAGGGTCCAGTCAACTCCTCTTCCAGCTGGAAGAAACGTCATATGGAAGACGGACGCCAATGAGGAAAAGACAGAGTCCATCTGTTATGACGGGAGCGGCGTTGTAAGGACACGACACACACGATGCCCTCAGCACCGTCAGATGCTCCCTGCGGATAAAGGAAAGCCGGGATCCGGCCGCAGGAGGGGAGCCAGCTGCTCGGTCCCCGGACTTTGGACCGTCCTGCATCCTCGAGCATCATGGTGTCAGCATCGCAGGCAGACGCAGCCCAATTCTCACCCGTGTGGCAGCTTCCTCCCCCCCGTGTCCTCAGTCCGGAGGCCACCTGGGGGAGGCGGGAATTTCCAGGGACTCCTGTCCCAGGTGTTCGTGGGCTCAGATGAGAATGGGAGCGTCTCCTGGGGAATACCTGCTGGGATCACAGCAGGTCACAACGTGATTTAACATGAGAAGGTCCCGTGGTACGTGGCGTGGTCGTGTCACCAGGAGATCTGACAGCCCCATGTGCCCCGTCTCGAGGGCTCAATCACCACCAGCAAAGTACAGCGGCCCCTCAACCTGAATCACCTCTGACCTCTGACCTGCAGAAGTGGGCTTCCTACTTGGTTCATTAAAACGTCGAGATTCTACAATTTATGATGGAAAGATTTGGTCAGGAACCCAAAGACTCATTGATTGGTCACCTAATCTTTAATTCAATATCGAGTCCCATGTGTGGTGTATTTGGTGGTCGGGATATACACACAGCACGGATGGACCCCATGACCCAGATTCTGGAAGATGCTGGACACTCGTGGGTGATGTGAAGCAGGACTCAGCTTTGAGGACCCTTAGTCTCCTCAAGAAAAACCTTAAATACATGAAGTGAGTGGTGAATAAACCGTGGCTAAGTTGGTTAATGTCAGATAAAATGCAGGGACTTCCCTGGTGGTGCAGTGGTTAAGAATCTGCCTGCCAATGCAGGGGACACGGATTCAATTCCCGGTCCAGGAAGATCCCACATGCTGCAGAGCAACTAAGCCCATGCGCCACAACTACTGAGCCTGTGCTCTAGAGCCTGCGAGCCACAACTACTGAGCCCACATGCCACAACTACTGAAGCCCGCGCACCTAGAGCCCGTGCTCTGCAACAAGAGAAGACATTGCAATGAGAAGCCCGCGCACCGCAACGAAGAGTAGCCCCTGCTCTCCGCAACTAGAGAAAGCCTGCGGAGCAATGAAGACCCAATGCAGCAAAAAAACAGAAACACAAAAGCAAACAAACAAGCAAAAAAACCAGAGGCAGGACCCACTCTTCAAAATGTCAATTCTGAGGCAAATCTGATAAGAAAATAAATTCTACCTAAACGTCCAAGCAACAGAGACCATCACGATATACGTGTCTCGATTCTGAAACGTAGCAGTGAGACGGCGAGGATACAGACCCCGGAGGAGCTCTGGGTCTAAACCCGGAACTGCAGGGTTTCCACCAGTGACCCAAGCCTGGCCGGGAGGTTGCCTGCAATGCCCAGACCATTTCTGAGTCTCCCAAGACTTCTGAACAAGAATGTCCCAGGGCTGAACCCAGACGTCTGCAGTTAGGACGATTTCCCTCCTCATCTGGGGTTCTAACCCCGTTGGCTGGCTGACTTTGGGGAAATTATGCAACCTCTCTGAGCTTCAGCTCCTTCGACCACGCAAGGAGGATGCTACCAACGCCTCTCTCCATGTTGGCTTGCTCGTTCACAAGAGGAAACAGATGTCATGGATTTAGCTCGCGGGAGATGCTCAATAAATTGTAGGCACGATGATAGAAAATAAACCCCCCAAATTTGCCGTTTTTCATTTCACAAGGAGCCCCGAGGACATTCAGTGGCGTCTCCCGTGAAATGTCTGGCCCAGGGCGTGGGGAGCTGACTCCATCTCAGCACAGGTGTACTTTGTCAGATGGGGCCGTGACTCTGCTCCTGCGCAGGAATAAATCACACTTTCGAGGGAGCCCTGACAGGTTGATCTGCGGGAAATTCAGGGCACGGTGGGCCAGGGCAGACTGGATCAGGGCTTCTCCGGCAGCGGCTCTGAGGACCGAGCACACAAAGCTGAGCCGGGCTCACACGGGACCGGACCCGAGTCCCCGCTGAGGAGGGTGGCCCTGAGGCAGAGGTGACAAAGCCCCTTCCCTGGGAGGGAGCGTCTCTGGGTGATTCCTGGTACCTTCAGAGGTTAGAATTCCACAAACCTTCTTGCTTGTGAAAATAAAATTCCTCCAGTGAGTTGTTCAGCAACATAGGGATGTTTCTGGAAAAAGCAAAACCCCAAGAAATCAGAACTACCATCTCTCTGGCTGACTGCGTTAATTATAAGGATCTGGGGCCCTCGTGCTTCCGTCACCTTATTTCTGGTAACGTGAGGGATGGAGGCGTGGCCGAGGTCAGGTCAATAGGTGTCCGTCTGTCATCTGGTCAACAGGGTATTTCATGTCTGTCTTGCTCCCTGGGGTCAATTTTTCATCCATAACCTAAGAGAAAAGGGAAATCCAAAGAGACTAAAATTTGAATGAAAATTCAAAGGCAAAAAAAAAAAACGCCCTTTTCCGAGTTAATCTAAGTGACATCTGGGGTGACAAGTGCCACCTTCTCAGAGCCGATGCCCAGCCATGCTCCCTGGAAGCAGCTGTCCCCGCCCAGCCGTCTCCACCTCCACGACTGCCAACTCTTTTTTTTTTTTTAATTGCAAATTGTATTTGTCCAGAAAACATGTCAATTCACATGTTTTAAGACCCTGAGGTCGGAGTTAGTGGCCGGCCCCTGTGGGAGGCTGGTTTTCTTGGTGACGCAGAAGAGGGCTCATGGGAGGGGACCGTCCCCGGGGAGACCAGCTGAGCAGTGGCCCCTCCCTGGCGGCCCAAGCAAGGGTGTGCCTGTCACATCAGCACCTCAGCTCCCACAGAGGAGTCTGTCCCTGTCATCGTTCACGGGCCGCTTCCCCCGGTCCCTGGAAATCTCGGCCGAGGAAACGAGCTTCTTCGAAACCTGGTAATGTATCAGTTGAGCTTTTCACGCCCAGAAAATGCAACGTTCTCAGACGAGACCCCCAACTCTCTGCGTCCTATTTGCCCTGAGGCACTTGGAGGTCCGACGGGCTAAAGGATGCTGGAGACACGGGGTCAAAGACTTGCTCCGTGCGGCATCATTTCCAGCAACAGACCCAGAAGAGGCCCCGTGGCTGGCGACCCACTGACCGCAAGGACGCGGGGCGGCCGGGCGGCCCCGGCCCTCCTAACCCTCTGTTTCCTTTTCTCAGGGAGGACGAGACGGCCGTTCGGGGTCCCCAATGGCGAGACGCTGAAGCCCTGCCCCGTGTCCCGGAATCCCGTCCGTCCCCAGCTTCTTAACACAACTGCCTGGAAGTTAACCGCGAGCCGTAGATCCCTAACGTAGCCGCTGCCCCCTAACCCTGGCGACAGCGCACAGCAGGCCCCGCGCGCGGCCTGCCGGCTTCTGGCCGGCCGCCCCTCTGTCGCCTCGCCCTTGGAAATCAGTGACGTCCCCCGAGAGCCGGGGCCGGCGACCCTCTCCCGTCGCCGGCCCCCGTCCCGCGATGGCCCGGGGCGCGGCCCTGGGGACCACCGAGCGGGGCGCGCAGACCGTGCGGCTCCGAGCTTCCTTTGGTTTCTTTCCCGGCCTCCGCCGCTCACCCCGCGAAGCCTTTCCCCTTCTAACCGATCGGCTGGGCGCGGAGCGGCTTGGCGGCGGGCGCTTTGGTACGTGACAGGCGGGCGGGCAGCGGGGACTGTTCCGCGTGGTGGCCGCGGCTCACACACCCGGATGAGCCGGATCGGCGCGGGCGGAGAGGGCGCGCGGGGGCAGAGTCGGGCCGGGCTCTTCTGGGAAACCGGGCGGCGACGGCACAGGCTCGGCGGGCAGCAGAGCGGCCTCGCCACGACCGGTTTCCACCCGAGCCCGGCGGCCGGCCGGGAGGTGGCGCAGCTCGGGGCGGTGGCAGGAGTTTCCGGGGAGCCTCGCGGTGGCAGGCTGGTCACCGTGAGCGCGAAGGTGACAGGTGGCGTAGCTCAGCACGGCGGTGCACACGGCAAACACTAATCTCTCCCCCCCACGCCCCCCGCGGAAACGTAACCGTCCCGCCCGCTTCCTCCAGGAAACCCACTGACGACGAGTACGCTGGCCTTTCCCGAATCGCCAGCCGAGCACGTGGGGATGGGCAGAGGTCCTCCAATCCCGCTGTTTCCTAACGCGAGCTGACATCTCCTGCGCTCCCCCCGCTCCCCGTAACCTACTGATTCCCGCCTTTTGAGTTCAGCATCTCTCCCACAAGCCCTCCAAGGAGCCCCGCACACCGGCGTCAGCCCCCCTAGGATGGAGATGAGGACCTACTCAACATAACGCCCAAACGCGACTCTAATCCCCTTCTAATTTTGAATGTTTCGTGTGGGTTTAATATAATGTCTATTAATATATAGCCTCAATGATGAGAGGATAAGAAAAAAAAAAAAGGAAGAAAATTTACGAAACAAAACCTCCAAATTGCTATACACACACACACACACACACACACACACACACACTCTGCATCTTTGAGCTGACTGTTGACTGAGTGACCTCCATTCGTGGCTACACGCAACAGCAAGAGCTGTGACCCTGGGTCTCGTGGAAAGTATGCACTGTTCTTGAATACTGAAATAAAATACACTTTTAATGATATTTGCATGGCCGTCTTCTTTGGCTTTTATTCTGGTCTGTGGAATGCGAGCCCACGTAGAGCAAAACTCAGAGCTGATGTGAGTAGGCGTCTTACTGTCACAGGACAGAGCTGCCTCTCGGCACCCGTTTGAGGAGGTGGGTTATCATCAGATGGTTTGTGTATCAATAAGAGAAAGTGGAGTAGAGGCCGCTGTTAGGGCACTGAGTCTCTGACTCACAAGGAAAGTAATTTTTAATTTATCTTTAAACAATCCTTTAGAGTATATTTACATTTCACTATCTTACCAGCATACCAGTCCCCGTTAACTTGAACTGAAGAATCTTTGAAAAATGATTTTTTGCCACGCAGAGACGATGACAAAGATAACTGACACTGGAAATTTTATGTATAGTTGCTTTTGGTTACAAGAATTATCTTTCAAAAAGGTAAATGGAAATCTTATGTTTTGCTTTTAACAAACCACTGGTTCCCTTCCGTCTCAGGAGCAGCCCTGAGAAACTCACAAATGCCAGCAAGGGAAGCGCCCTCCCCATCGATTGCAGGGTGACACCGGCCGTCCTCAGGGAGCACCCAGGCTCAAGCGTGCTGTGCACTTCCAATCCGACAATAAAAGCCGGCCCCGCCCAGTAGCCTGAGGCCCCATCCACGGGGTAGATAAGACTCCAAGCCATGCCAACCCCCAAACCCCTTCAGACCAAGGGATTTGGAAAAGCATGCAAAGACATCACATCTTTTCAATTCTGCTCTTCCAGTTGGCAAGTCTACTTTAATGTTACATATATAGAAAATGCATTAAGTGGTAAACCAAGGGGTGTCCTAGAATAACACAGCGTTTACCATGATAATGTGATACTAAAATAAAATGACGCAAAATAGGAAATGAACCACGGAAGGGGTGTTCTCACTGAGCATTTATCCAAAGCGGTCTGCATCACCCCCCTCAAGTTGAAGGAAATTAGCTTACCAGGCGGAGCTCCAAGAGAAGTGGGTGCTGGAACCCCAGCCGGGACACTCTTCCTCATCTCACTGTGCTCACCCCGAGGACCATCGCTCGCAGGGTCTAGAGGTATCGGGAGGGTCTATTGAACCAAGAAAGGCTCTTCCCACCAGGACAGGAAACCACAATGATCACGCTTTCCAAGATATCGTATCAATCTGCACAGCCACCTCCACGCCACTCGGTCCAGACCGAGAAACGTATGTGGCCTCCTGTCCATCTGGGCGGAGGATGGCCCGAGGAGCTGGTCCAGGGTGCCCAGCCCGGCGGGGACAGCCTCTGGAGGGAGGGTTGAGGTCGGGAGCAGGTCAGAGGTTAGCGGAGAGGATGTCGGCTCAATCCATGGGGCTGGCTTCATAAATCGGGTGCGGGCTGTAAATTGGAATTGGGATTTTGGGAGGAGAGAGAACTGGGGCCTGAGGAAAACACTGAAATAGGGAAAGAAAAGCCTTCTTGTAGCATCTGAAAACGAGAAGAGCCAAGCCTTTAATTAAGTCTATTAGGGCTGTCGTAACACTATACCACGGACTGGGTGGCTGATTTTCTTTGCTCGGGGTTCTGGAGGCTGGAAGCCCACGGCCAAGGTGCTGGCAGGGGGATTCTGGGGAGGCCGCCCTCCAGACGCCACCTGCCTGCTGGTTCCCCGCGGCCCCTCCTCTGGGCACGTGACACACTGCTGGTGTTGCTCCTTATGAAGGCACTAGTCCTCACCCTTAAGACCGCCCTTAAACCCTAATTAGCTCCTAGAACTCCTATCACACTGGGAGTGAAGGCTCCAACAGATGGATTTGTGTGGGGAGGGGCACCAGTCAATCCACAGCAGGTGTGTGTTTCTCATGCAGCGACAAGTATGTCCTAGACCCCCATCTGGCAAGAGTTTTAATTAAACCACAGGACTTTGCAGTGAGTATGCTTCCTTCTTTCCCCAAAAAGGTAACATGAAGTGAAGCATCTCAGTGCATTTTCTATGGCGATTTTTCTCTTGTAAATAGCGAAGAGTCAGGGAATCCTAGGCAAAGCGGCGTAAGGAGGGGGTGCGCAATCGCAGCCCGGTGAAGCCGAGGGATGGGTAACCACCGCGGGCTGTTCACTCCAGTGCATGACCCTGGAGCAACGTCCTTTGACAGCATTTGCCCTGGACGCAGAATCAACCACCTAACTTTCGAGAAACATGCTGATTTCAGTCGGGCTCTCCCTTGCCCCCCAGACAATCTCAACTTTGTCCCCAGGGGGAGGGTGACAGCTCCTCCTCTCACAGCCTCTTCTCAGCTCGACTTCCCCCCCGCACCGTGAAAGAACACGGGTTCGCCCAGCACCCGAACCTCACCAACTCCAGAAACTTGTTGCTCGGTCAAGACCCGAGCACGCCTAAGATGACCAGTCCTTCGACCGCATCCAGACCAGCTAGGGCCCCTGCTGCTCGCAGCCTAGTTCCAGATGCTGGTGCTAAATTAAGGAGAGATTTGGAGCAGAGCGCGGACAGAGTGACTGACAGGGTGCACAACAGCCCCCGAGGGGGTGTCCTGATGGCCCGGGAGGCGCTGGATTGGCCGCTGTGCCCATGGCACCTGCACCAGCAGCATGGTAGCCCTGGGAGGCCCCGCCCACCTCGGGGGGCAGAACCTGGCCTCTGACGAAGCCCCCCCGGGGAGGTGGGGACGTTGCCCGTGGAAGACACCCACTGGACCCAGAGGCCAGTGACCGGTTCACCTCCCATAACATGAATTGTGGCAAAATCACTTATGATAATGGGGCTGCTGCACAGGTGGGCAACGTCCTGCCCTCCTCGGGGACGCCTGTCTCTGCACCTTGGCAGCCAGACCTCAGAGCAAGACAAGCAACACAGGCTGCTGCAGTGACCGAGGCGGGGGGACCCCAGAGTGCTTGCGAGTCCGTGTGGATGCTCGCTTCCCCCGCTGAGGAGGGAGGAAACGAGGAGGGGCAGGGCCTGCAGGCAGCCAGGAGCCAGCCAAGCAGCAGAAGTTGGTTGTGCGTCCGGAGGCGGGGCTCTCACTGTTGGAGGGGGAGGGGATGAAGCCTGAAGTGTTGGCGCATCTACGTGAGCCCATGGTTTCACGTGTAGACGGGTGAAAAGTCTCAGATCCATGATGAGTGCGCGCGCGCACACACACGCACACACATACATATACACACACTCTCTCTCTCTCTCTCCCCCCCCCCCCCCCCCCCACACCACCACTCAGCTCTTGGCTTCTAAATACCACGCTCCACTAGAGGGAGCCAGGGCTTCGGGAAGAAATGGCTGGTTCCAGCGCTGGGACAGGGAAAGGGAACAATTTATTGGGCCAGAAAGTAAGAAAGCACTCAGAGAGTAACGTGGGCGTGTCAAAAGGACTCAAAGCTACCTGAAGGAGCCCCTACTGGCCAAATCCAGGACGATTTGAGAGTCAAAATAAGGAAGGATCCTGATGGATTGCAGCCATTAAATAAAACAGGAAGCCACAAGCCCAAACCACCATAAACACAAGAATAAACCACCGAGGGAGAAGAGGAAGCCCGTCCTCAAAGTGGAATACCAGCTACTGATGACAGAGGGAATGAAGGGACCTGCAAGCAGGGAGACGCCGGGGTACCACACAGAGGCTGTCGGCGGGATGAGGCACTTGGCCGCGTGGTCGGAGAGCCTCTCACAAATACTCACCGGTTACAGAGGGGAAATGGTTACAGGGTTGACACCGACAGCATCAGTCATGGGACACGTGGACACTGCGTGTCACCTTGATAAGACGCACCGAGAAGAGCATCACCTCTGTGATGCAGGACCCGGCCCAACCGGAAGGCACGGCAGGGCGGGGGCGGCTGCTGAACTCGCTCTCAGTCGTCAGGGTAACGGGAACCACGGCGACATGGGGAGGGGCGTCCCGGGTGAAGAGGGTGGAGGTGCTGGCACGACCCTGCACCGGGTCTGCTGCACAAAGATCTTATCCTTCACAGGTTCGGCAACACCGGAAAGGGGTCTTTGGTGAAGAGTATAAAGATTTCTCTGTGCCACTCTCACAACTTTTCTGTAAATCTGAAACTGCTTCAAAGAGTTTACACAAGAAGGATAAAGATTTCGGATTATTAAACTTGAGAAAGATAATTCAGAGACAACCTAGAAAACAATGCGTGGTGATGAGGGGGCAGATGGCCACCTGTTGTTCACCTCCAGCTGAGATCACATCAAGACGAGCTACTTCGTGTTAATCCGTAAGAATTTCTTCCCCTGAAGCCGCTTAACAGGGTAACCTACAATCACCCTGTTCTGATACTAAACTAGTGGCATAGAACCATCTCTTCTGGTCGATAGAGAATTTAAAAATCAGGGAAACACCTGGTTATTGGCAGAAAGGAGAGGGTGGGGCTGTGTGTTGCCCCGTTTTTCACTTTTTCCTTAGAGGGTAGAGGGATTTAACACTTTAAAGGTACTGCATGACAGTAACATCTCCTCAGTGATAGAAATAACACTATGGATGGTGCAGAATAAATTAATCATTGACATTTGTAAAAAAAAAATTTCCATTCATAGAGTATGCTGAGCCGGGAACGTATTGCCAACAACTGTGAAGCATGGTAAATTCTCCCCACCTGCCGGCTTAGAAGAAGACCCGCCAGCTTCCCGGCGGCTGGCAGGAGACTTGAGGCTCCCGGGCCAGAGAGCAGGGGCTGGCAACTCACAGCAGGAGGAGGCACCAGAGCCCCGGCGTCTGTGTTGATACCCCAGGCCCCGACCTCCACACGCAGCCCAGAGCGGGCCAGGTGATGCCTGCACGCAGGGTGTCGTGTCCTGGGAGAGGAAGCAGGGCTTTGGGAACCTGAGTCTCCAATAAACACACAGCAAGCCGGCCTGACCTCTGCTTCGGTGAGACATGCCTTGATTACAAGGGTCAGTAAGAAAAGCATCACTTGGCTCTGGAGGAAGATGTCCTTTCTCCCGAGGTCGTATTCTCTTCAAACTGCCTTGAAGAGATCGTGGAGCAGAGATGGCCAGTGCCTTACCCCTAACACTTGCAGAAATGAGACAGACCCCTGGAGAACTGCCTCCCGATACACCACAGCTCACTGGTTAAGAATAGGTCCTCGAGCTGGTAAGGAAGACATCTAATCAACTAATTTTACAGACCAGAGAAGTGAACCGAACTGCCTAAAGACAGGCGGCCCGTCAGCGCCCTGGCTAATCTGACCTGAGGCCCCAAGGCCTGACTTCCCAGCTCTGCCCAAGCCCAAGACGCGCCGTAGACTCGCGCCCTTGACTGTGTTTAAGTATCAGCAGCAATCTTACGCCACCAAAAAGCCACGCTCTCCGGAAAAGCTCGGCTGGGCCGTGTTAAACAGTTGCAGTCCACGGTGGAGGGAACAAATGGGCCACGACCTGATCACTTCTGAAAGAACAGCCCCCTTCCCCCACCCCGCCGTATTTTGAACACTAATAGAGCGATATTCTTTCTACAAACAAGCAATGAGAACAGCAAACTTCTTACCGTTCCCTCTGAGCAAAGCCCAGGAAAAAATAAACATCACCTTAGCTGTTTCAGATTTACATAAATCTGAGTGATGATCTTTTAATGTTAAAAATGTGTATCTTCATGAGTTATCAATATCCTTCTGCAAAGAGGAAACTCCGTGGGAAGAACAGAAACCCACCTCCTTTTCAGAGTTCCGTCCCTGTACTAACGCACGCACCTCCTGCGCATAAATACTGGTGTTCTTGTAGAACTCAAGCTCACAAACGGCAATGGGCAGGAATTACAAAATACTCTTCTGGGGAAACACTCGCTAGTTCAGTGCTGACACTGGAGGAGATGGAAACTTGACGCAAGGATGGGAACTACTCACTTTAGGACCGATTCTCCTCGTCCTGTCAGTATCGTGCTGTCAGAGGATAAGGAGACATTTGAGGGACTTCCCGCTGAACCAACAGGCTGCAGGCTGAGCCCCATTCTTGCAGGACCCTCCAACCACACGCCTGCCTTTAAGAGGGACAAAGGAGAGCCTGGGGCAGGGCATGGGAGTGCAAAGGTGTTTCCATTTGCATCTACCGCCATTTCACGCAGACGCGACCACTTGTGCAGCTCCCTCCTGGCCCCCAGCGGCCTGTGAGCCACATCCCAGTTTCCAGTTCAGTATCATGGGTGGGAAGGGAACGCACCCTCCTTCGGCTTACTTAAGGGCTTCACCGTTACTTTACCACAGAAGACAGTTAAAGACAGTCATGCCCTTTCTAAAGGCACTACTTTACAATTCTACTTTGTTTTCTTGCCTGGTCATTTTATGACCAGGATACCGCTGAATATGGCCAACAGTGAAAACAACAGACACTGCTACCTTACACAGACGGCCTGCCTGTCATCACACCATATTCGGATTTTTAGTTTGAAGATCTGCAAATAAACCTTGCAAGGGTAGCGTTCGTCAAGCGCAGAGGTACAGGAAAATATCATTAAAATGCTTTTCTGTAAAAACGTATCTACCTGAGCTTGAAAGGAATTCATGTGCCAAACTATTTTAAATATTTGAAAAGAAAAAAAATTAATCACATTTCCTAACTTCATTTTTTATTTATTGTTATTTCCAAAGCAGATACGCTATGATGAGATATTTTAAAAAATACAATTATCTATCCTCAAAACCCTGGTTATGCAGGAGACTAGAAATCTCTTGTCAGAAGACTTTTTATCAACCAGTAAAGTATAAAGATCAACCTGTACTCCACTCCACCAAAAAGTTCAAGTGATATTATGTCTTTACAAAACCTTATTTTTCAAGGAATATCTTGCAAAGAAGCAGCTTTTATAATTAGGAAGTAAATCAAAAGAATACATTAATGTCTTGTGTTTGCCTGATAATAAACTGAGAAAACTCACAAAACAGATTATTGATAGATTTTTTTTTTTCATTAACCAAAATAAAAGTAGGCTTTAGATTCACCTGGTAAGGCCTTACTTGGGCAGTGCACCAATACAATTCACTGAACTATGCTTTCTATACAATTAGGAATTAAACAAACCCCTTTTAGAGACTGACCTGAGATGACATTTAATGCTGAAACCAAAATAAATAACCTAGCAAAAACAAAATTTTTAAGATTTCAATCATTTCAACTTCGGAGATATTTGTTCACCAAAATTAATCAACATTTCTAAAATAGTTTAATACAAAATTATAAAAGAAAAGTGCAATAAAAGCAGAACCTTTAAACTCTGGCGCAATGACAATTATTCTGAATAACAGACTGCAGCCAGGTATACACACTGACATCCAAGAAAAACCTCAGGATATACAAGTCCAGCATCACAAGAATAAGTCAAATAAGGCTTTTTTTTTTTCCTCCCTTAAAAAAATATACAATACATAAACCAGTTTGAAAAAAAAAAAGTAATATTATTTAACAGTTTTCTGACTTAAATATTTTCACATAACAAAAGGTTTTATATCACTGTCAATGTTACTTATATACATATGCCAGAAGCGTGAACAACAAAAAATCAAAAGACGCCCCTTCAAAAAATAACAGTAAAATGTCTCTTTCTTCAGGAATCTGAAATGAGCTCCTCTCTTAATATACAAAGTCCATACAATATTTATATCATAAAACTGCTGTCTTCTGAAACCAGCGAGGCAATGAGAGAGAAAATAAAGGCGATTATTTTTCAGGAAAAACAAAAACAAAAAACCAACCCCAGCTTTATGTCACAATGACAAGGATATCCATTTATTAATAAAATGAATACAATACTGCTCTGAAGTGCTCGCCGGGAGGTAAAAACTCTGTCGCTCTCTCTGTAACTGGGACTAGTGCTTATTTACAAAATATACTGTTCGGCCACACAGAGGCCCATATATCTGTATATGTACATATGTATTTATATATAGAACATATAAATAATTTCAAAGGAGAGATTCACATGAAGTAAAGAAGTTTCCATCTTTGGAATGCTGTGGGAACGACACACACTCCGCCCCAGCGCGGGCAGCGCGGGGTAGGATTTGGTTTGGGACATGTTCAACGTGGCACCATTGATGATACTAAAGAATTCCCTGAAATAAAAAATACACCTGCTTATGCACGAAGAGAAAACCACGGGGCTCATACAGGTTCTTACCCTCAAAGTACAAATACACTTCTTAATTACTGAGGCGGACAGGGCTGCAGTCCCTTTGTTCCCAGGAGACCATTCTGTGATTTCGGACCTGCAGTGCATGGCTTGTGCTTCCTGCGGTAGCCCGACCCATGTACCCGAGTATTAACTCGGGCAGCGCGAGTGGCATCATCCCGCGCGGACGGCTGGATCCTCACGTGTGTGTCAGGCTTACTCTACTCCCTGGGTGTACGCCCCAGACACTGCATTCTTGTCACTAATGATTAGATATTTGTAATGGAGAGAGAACTGGTCCGGCCATCTCTCAAGGTATTAGTTATATTAACTTATGGTAGACTAAAAATTAGAGTCAATTTCTACTAATTTCAAAATTCACAGAGAAAAAGATGGAAAAAACTTCCCTGCGTGTTGTAACGTTTTTTCCGAACTTCATGCACCTATCTTATGTTTGTTTCATGAGCTATGCTTCTTATAACAGAAAGCATGAAGGAAAACCTAGCTGGGTTTTTCCACGTTAACTTCTGTCTTTGCTAATACAAAGAAATCACACTACAATGAGAGTCCGATCCAGTTAATTTCTTTTTAACTAGACGCACTGGCCACGGAGTAGGCGAGACTGCTGACGTAGTACCTGAGTTCAGTGATTTGCAGAACAACAGCAACGTGCTTCCACCTTTCCCAGCTTTCTTCCTGAAGTCTCTGAAAGCCAATGATTCTTTAGATAATTTTATAGCTAAAAATTTTATAGCTATTGTGGTAACATTTTTAACACTTGAGGCTTCAAAACAGAAATCCCAAGTGCTTTGTTCTTCTCCACACTTCACTCTGGAAACGTTCTCGGGGCCGGGCTGCGTCAGAACACGTTGGCCAGGGTCTGCCACTCGCTCGCAGGTTCCGGCTCCACCTCGTCCAGGTGGAGCGCGCGGCTCAGCACCTCCCCTCCGTGCTCCTGGGGGACGGCGGGTTCCTGCAAGGTTCCTGCCGTGGTGATAAAGAAAGAGTCCCAGACATTCACTAGCACAAAATTATTCACATTTAAATAAGGACAACTTAAACGGAGACAAGAAATTCCTAAGTTGATTTGTTTTCCTTCCCGGTGAAAAAAGAGTCATCTGAGCTGCAGGTTTCATAATTCTGTCGGTGACAACAATTACTGTTACTTGAGTACGAACGCACACAGCGCTCGTTCCCTATGCTCATAAAGCCTATGTTCGTATGACATCCTTGATGAGCGATTACTAATTAATACTAGTGATAACGACAGGCACAAGTTTTCTAACAGAAAGTAAAGCACGAAGCACTAGCGTGTAGATGTTAGAACTTCCTCTTCCTCAAAAACTTCACAACATGAAGGGTCCTACCCCTGTGGCTCCAGGAAAGCCCTGGGCACTACTCCCGCCACGCTCAGGCCCTCCGACTCCCCTCGTGGTTACAGCACCCAGACCAGCAGAGCAAGCCCAAGACGCAGGCTGTAACCCTCCCTGACTTGTCGGAGACACTCCGCGGGCTGCATTCCAGCCCCCGCCCCAAGCCCCCCGCCCCTGCCTGTCTCCATAAAGGGTGCGGGCATTCCTGGACAACGCGGGAAACAAGGCGGACAGAGGGACGCCCCCGCCCTGCCAGCACCGATGTGGGGGAGTCAGCTCGGGGACGCGGAGGCCCGTCTGTGGAGCCACAGGGCACAGACTCGCCTGACCCGGACCCTGAGCCTGAGGCGGGGACGCAGGGCCAAGCCCTCGGGGCCGGCAGGGCGCGGACGGCTCAGCGCACAGAGCCCCGCGTGCCGTGCAGCCAGGACGCCTCACCCGCGTAGCTGTGGGCCCGCTTCATGTGCAGCTTCATGTTGCTCTTCTGCGTGAAGCCCATGGCGCAGTAGCTGCACCGGTAGGGCCGCTCCCCCGTGTGCTTCTTCACGTGCACCTGCAGCGCGCTCTTCTGGTTGAAGGCCTTCTCGCAGAGGGTGCAGTGGAATGGCCGCTCCCCTGGGGACAGGCAGCACAGTCAGCGTCCCTGACAGATGGCGCTCGGCGAGCACACACACAGCACAGAGCAACTCCGAAGAAGGGATGCGAGTTTAACAGCAGGCTAAGGACGTTCCTCACTCAGGATGCTAACCCACAGGGTTCCAGCAAGGCCACTCCATGGGGAGCCATGAAAGACACCTTGATCAAAAGCTACGGAAAGTCCTAGAAGCACCCAGAAATAAAGGTAGAGCACGTATGGTTCAAACAAAATGTTTCTAATCCATTTTGAGCAGAAAAGCAAAAAGACATTAAGGACATGGGAATATCAAATCCAATTGACTAAAAGTATGGTTTATACGATATGTTTCAAATGGTACTTAATTGCTTTCAAGCTGACGTGGAAACTGACAAATGGAGGGAAAAGTTGCCAAGCGTGACTTCTGCTGGGGGCCTGCCCAGGTGAACGCCCGCCCTACAGCCACACTGCGGAGCCCGGCCCTCCCCACGCAGCATCTCTCTCTGCTTCCACTCCCTGCGGCCCTGGCAGTCCTGCCACCCCTCGCTGTCACGCACCCACTTCCAAGTCCCAGGGACCGGGTCCCTTCCTGCCCCAGGGCCTGGCACAGCCCTTCCCCCTGGCCTTGAAGGTTCTTTCCCACGTGCTCTGCCTCGCTGCCTCTCGGGGTCACGTGCCAGCACCCCCAGGGCTGCCCTGGGAGCACCTGGTCCTCAGCCCCCCAGGTGTCCCTCCACAGCCGACGACAAAGGAGGTCTTCCTGCAGCTCGCCTAGGGCAGGCAGAGTCCTAAAAATGGCCCCCAAGGTCTCCTGCCCTGAACTCTGGGCCTGGGACTATGATGACGTCATGCCTGAGAAACAAGAACGGCCACAGATGAACTAGGTCGCTCGTCAGATGACTGGGAGTGACCAAAAGGGAGACTGCCCTGCGGGCCCACTCTGATCACACCGCCCTCAGAAGCTGGGATTCTCTGGAGACGGAAGGGGAAGCTGAAGACATCGGGAGCTGGAGTGAGGACGGGGCACCCACGTGAGCAGGGATGTGGCCCCAGTGACAGCCACAGGTGCCCACTTTACACACATGCCAAACCCTTCACGTGCATCTATGCTAGAAAAAAGGGCGGTCGTTTCTCTTAATTATGCTTTTGAACGAACGCATTATGAAGTAACCGCACGGTTGTTTTTCACTCAAGAGCTACTTGCTGGACACCCGGTGGGCGCCGGGTCTGCGCTGACAGGCAAGGGGCATCCCTGAGGACACATGGCCCGCAGGCCGGGGAGGGCTGCCGGGCACCTGCTGACCACACAGGAGGCCCTCATGCCAGCCGGGGCACCAGCGGGGCAGGGCCTCTCGGGAGGAGGCAGCCGTGTGAAGGTGAGTCAGAGACGGCCGGCAAAGGAACAGAAGGGCTGGGAAGACGATGACCCACCAGAGAGCACCGGGAAAAGGGTGGGCGCCAGACAGAGAGCTGGATACGGGGAGAGACCTGCCCGTGGCCGGGGGGCCTCGGGGGCTCAGGGAGGTCTGGCGGGCTCTGCCGGGGGTGCTCAGGGGGAGCCTCCGAGGGCTCTGGCCCGGCTTCCAGGTGAATAGAGGCCTGGAGGAGTGCACAGAAGATCAGAGAGGGTGGGAGGCTGAGCCCGTGGTCCCGAGGAGACGGAGGGGCGGAGGGGGAACGAAGCACGGCTGTGGGGGTCCCGCTGCGCGGTCACCTGTGTGGATGCGGCTGTGTCGCTCCAGCTGGCTTGGTTTGGCAAAGGCCTTCTCACAAGTGTCACATTGGAACACCCTCGGCTTCTGAGAGCTCAAGGAAGGACCGGCTTGATGCGTCTGCATGTGCTCCTGGTAAAGAAAAACACACATGTGAAGAATACTGAAGATCATAGCAGAACTTTACAGACTTGAAACAGGAGAGGAAAAACCGGCGCAGAAAGGCCCGTCAGTGGGAGGAGGACCACAGGCTCGCCTCCGATCGGGACCCTCCGTGGGCGTTCCCGGAGCAGAGTCGGAGGTGGTACCTGGTGGATGGGAGACCCAGGCTCCCCCCCGAGCCCCTGGGCTGCATCTGGGTGGGGTGGTGTCTCGGCCTCCCTCCCTGTCGGCCACCGTGACAGTTGTTAGAGGACCGGCTGGATATTTTGCAGGATGTCCCTCAACTGAGAGGTGTCTGATGTTTTCCTCATCACCAGACCAGGGTTGTGGGCTGTGGGGTGTGGGCCGTGGGGAGTACCGTGCCATTTCCATCCCACAATATCATCACTGCTGGCACCGACTCTGATCACGCAGGTAGCATCTGTCAGGTTTCTCCAGGGAAGGGCGGCCATTTTTACCCCCTCCCATCACGTGCCCTTGCTGCCGCTCGCCCCTAAGGAGTGGGGCCACCCCCTCTTGGGGGCAGCGTCCACAGGGGCTACTCGGGATTCTTCTGCACGGGAGACTAGCCTGTTCAGTTGGTCACGTTTCCACCAGTAACGACCATGGAGGTTTTGCACCGTGGGCTATAATCCAGTTCTACTTTGTTTTCTTGCCCCGGCTGCGGCAGCTTTGGCCCCTAGGAACTCTCTCAGCTGCGCCCGTGTCCCCCGACGCGGTCCCGTCATATACTGCATGTGGGTGTGACGGGCACTTCCTTATTTCCTGGCACAATGTAATTTTTAAAAAATTCCAGATTTCTGAAGGTCATCAAGAGAAAGTAACTTATAAGTATTAAAAGGCCAGATTTAGTATTTCAAACTGTAGATGTTTATGGAAGAGTTATGTCTATATATAGTAACATATACGATTTTAAACATCTTAAATTTTCTTGAACCATTTTTATTCTTTTCCCTCTTCAAAAGGATTTCTTCTCTATCAGGCTGTAACGTTAGTATAGTTATAATTTCTGTACTGTCTACTAAGAGCTCAGTGCAGGCCTTAAGTGCTTTATATTCCTCAAACTAACCCTAAAATGTAAGTATCAACACCCTTATTTTATAAAGCAGGAAACTGAAGCTGCAGACGGTACGTGACCCGACCAGGAGCACAGAGGCTCTAAGTGGCAGAGGCAGAGGCACACAGAGGTCGGGCGGGGCTGGGGGCCCCTCAGGCATAAGGAGTGCTCGCCAACCTCGCCGACCTCGGGCTGCAGCCTCTGCAAGAAGACTTCGTTTGACAGTCAGTGTTTTGCTTTTAAAAACGAACATGGAGTCCTCTTTTCAGAACACATTAATACTGGGGCTTCTCATCTCAGAAAACAGTAGAAAAAGAGGCGAGAGGTGCCAGGCAGATGGAGGCCTGGAGAACAGAAAGCCGGCTTACTGACTGACCGCCTCCTCTAAAGGCCCTGAAAAAGGAAGCGTGGGATTCACTGTGCGATCAAGCGCCACAGGATTCTCGTGCTTTTGGTAACTAAGCAGCAGCAGAGGAGGGGCTCTGGCCCAGAAGTCACAGGCCTGGGCACTCCCCCTGACCAGTGGTCCTGGAAGTCACATCACAGTACCCTTCCTCATTCTTTCCTCTACTGTGTGGACGTCCCAGAGGGGGACCCTCAGGTTGTCCCCAATGACTGGCAGCTACGAACAACGCTGACCTAACCCTGAGCTCGGGCGGGCATATATGCCTTTGTGCCAACTCTCATGGTGGGAGCCGCTCTCGCGTGGTTAGGTATCGCCTAATTCCCCTGCAGGACGCCAGACCAATTCTGCAGCCTGCCAGCCATCACGGAAGTTCCTGCCTCCCCAGAGCCCTGCTCATAGGTGCCGACAGAGCTCTCATACGTGTCCCCGCGATGGGAGAAACGGCATCTCAAGGTGATCTGTAAATATGTTCACCTCCACGGGCCTTTCCTCGAAAAGAGACGGGAACCGTGTCGCTCACTAGGAAGAGTCCTGACCCCACTGAGTCCTAGGCCCGTGCAGCGCCTCTGACCTGAAGCGAAGAGCAGCGACGCTGGCGGGAGGGGGGCGGGGGCGTACCTTGAGGTGCGTGGCGCGCTTGAAGGCCTTCCTGCACACGGGGCAGACGTGGATGCGCTCCCGGCCGTGCATCTCCTTGCTGTGGTGCAGCAGCAGGGCGGCCGAGGCGAAGGTGCGGCCACACTCCAGGCACTGGTGCAGCCGGCCCTCCTTCTCGGGTTGCCCACCCTGGGCCAGGTTAGGAGACACGTCCGTCACCTGGAGCAGGTCAGAAATCCCGGCTTGACGGGACCGGCGCGAGGGGTACAGGCAGCCCTGCCCCGAACCCAGCCCCGGAGCTCGGCAGTCATCTGTGGGAGGCGGCCGGCCTCCTGACCTCCCGTGGGAGCAGCTGCAACGAGCAGCTCAGGCGTGCCTCAAGCACGCTGACCGGGCAGGCTCTGGGAAGCAGAGCGCGGCGCCGGCTGGGACCCCAGCCGCAGACCCGGCCCCCAGGTCACTTGTCGTGGCCACTGCGGGCGAGGTCCTCAGCCCTCGTGTCTTTACTTCTCTGCAAAGTTCCAGGAGTTTTTAGGCCTTTATATGTGGAACTCTGTCATTTACTACATGTTCGTCCACCCTCACCCCCGCTGCCAAACTGCGTTTAAGAAAAAGGACTAGTCAAAGGAGAAATAGGTCATGTACACACACGTGAACGTGTATACTATGAAAAAGTGTAGCAAGACTTGAAAGAATCAGCAAAGGTATGACAGGAAATCCTACAAAAGGAACAAAGGCAAGTAAATGGCCACGTGCAATCTGATCAGTGGGCAAATAAAGAAGATACTGATAGATTTAAAACTACACTTCCGCATTACTGGAAAATCATGGAACAAACGAGACCCAGTGCTAACCCCCCACCCCTGGGTCCTCCCTGCTCAGCACCTGCTCGTCTCTCGGGAGACACACCTCCTCAGGCTGGCGCCGAGCCCGGCCATGCAGGACTCTCCAGGACCCTCCATCCCATCCCTTCTGAAGCTACGTTTTTTGAAAACTATGAGAGATTGTGGATAAAACGTGTGCTGTACCTGATAGGCGATTTCTTCACAGGCTGCCGACGGCTGTGGAGTGGGGCTCACCAGGATGACCTGGGGCGAGCCCGCACCCCCAGGGCCCGAGAGAGCGGGGTCCGTGAGCAAGGCTGGGAACTGCTGACCCTGGCAGAGGTGATTACTGCTTTAGAAGTTGTGACATGATCAAATCCAGTTGTAATTTAAAAGATCTCTTATGGCGCAGTAACTTCGGAAAACAAGCTGGCAGGTCCTCAAACGCTAACCACGGAATCACCATGTGACTCAGCACTACCGCTCAGAGGAACGGAGACCCGCATCCACTCGAGGCCTCGCACAGGAGCGCGCAGCAGCACTACTCACGACAGCCCAGACGGGAGCACTGAGAGCCCCGATATCCATGAACTGATGAACTGACGGACAAGACGCGGTACAGCTGTACGACGGAACAGCATTCACCCATAAAACAGGATGATGACGCGCCTACAACGTGTGCAAGCCAGCGAAGGAGGCCAGTCACAAGGACCAGAGTCTTATGATTCCATTTATGGGAAGCGCCCAGAATCGGCAAATCTACAGAGAGTGGATCAGTGGTTGCCAGGGGCTGGGGGAGACCTGCAGGGGTGGGGTGGATCTGGGGTCGAGGGAGGGACTTGGGGAGTGACTGCTAACTGCTAATGGGACAAGGGTTCTTCTCAGGTGATGAACTGTTCTAAAATTAGATATGGTGATGGTTGTACAGCCCTGCAAATATACTAAAGACCATTAAATCGCACACTTTAAATACACGGGTGAACTTTATGATATATAAATTATATCTCAGTAACCTTGTAAAAAAATACATATATATAAAGAACATTTGTCTAAAAATCGACATAAAAACAACTTTGAGTCTTACTGCCACGCCAGCACACCTTTATCAACTGACTGTGAATCTGAGACAGAGAGAGAGAATGGATGTGGTGAGGGCAATGCAGGGAATGAGTGCAGAGACTAAGTTCAACCTAAAGGGACCAACACTGTACTGCAAATGCGGGCTCCATACTAAGAACACAACTCGAGCTGCTACAATTAAAGCTGATTCGAAGTGTATTTCACACATCCTCAAAACACTCACTCAAAACCATGGATTTGAAGACTCCCCATCAATGCACGATGCAAAGGGGTAAGGGGTCACACGGCCACACAGAACATGGCCCATGTCGCTGGGGGCCTGCAAGCTGAAGGAGAGGGCTGCTGCTCAATGCCCTCACGGGACTGACACAGGCTGAGCCCGAACCAGGAGGACAGAGGCGAGGAGCGGGCGGGGAGATGAAACGCAGGGCCAGACGGCGCTGCGAACACTTCCTCCACCAGAGGATTTCAGGTGCACTTCTTACTGCAAAGACGCCACCCAAGGCAGATGGGGAAACAAAGGCAACGGGGTAGAATATGGGATATATGGGGCAGAAAATAAATTTACAAGGTCATCTAGATTCTAGAAAAAAGAGAGCTTCAATTAAGATTCTTTACTTTCCATAGGCAATTTTTTAAAAAGTGAAATAATATTTTAGGTATCTCCATCCATCAGTCCAATTTTCTTACACAAACGTGGGATGGATTGAAAAGTTCCTATGTACCCTAATAAAGCATCATGTCCACTACCCCCCTTACACAGGGAAGTCGGTTGAATATTGCTATCTTCAAGTAGCAGTTACTGCTGCACTTTTATGTGTCTGTGGCTGGCTTTGGCCCCCACTCTGATTAGACAGTTGGTACCCAGTGTTGGTACCCAATTTTGAAAAATTAATCAAATTTGTCAATCAAAATCAATAAATTCACATTTCCTTATTTTATTAATCAAGAACAAATACAACTGCTGGCCAGAAATTCTGACACACCTGAAGAAGTGCTGGCTCAATAAATTCATATATTCCCAACTAAAGCTAAGACATTTGAGACTCTTAGCTCATACAGGTTTATCAAGGGGAAATTACAATTCCTTTTTGTTTTGAAATGACAACACTGTAGAAGAGATCAGCAGTTGTCAGGGGGAAGGGGAAGCAGACGTGGCTAAAAGGGCAACCTGAGGGATCCTTGTGGGGATGGGCATGTTCTGCGTCCTGACTGTGCCAATGACAACACCTGGAGGGTGCGGTGCCCTGGTTTTACAAGATGCTACCACTGGAGAAACTGGGTAGGGGGTCTACGGGATCTGTGTTATTTCTTACAACTGCCTGCGAATCCACAATTATCTCAAAATAAAAAAGCTTAATTAAAAAGAATCCTGAATACGACGTGATTTACTAGCTTACGGCTGGTGTTCCAAAGGCTCATGTTAAGTATTCTTAATGCAAATGCCCTGATTCAAAAACCAAGTGCCTTATAAAATAAATGCTCAACAATTAGCTATACTTACAGAAATGATGACCTGAATCCGCTAAAATGGCATCATCTAGAAGTCACTTATTTTTGGTTTGTATTATTACTTGCAGTCTGTTTCTTTGCTATATTTCATTTACACTGAGGTGGAAATTGTAATAATTCTCATTCCCCAAGTGCACATGAATTTTGTAGACCCCTCAACTGCTCAGGGGGCCCAGGCTGCTGAGTCAAAATCGCCTGGGAGGGAGCGTTCTGGTCGGCCGGGACAGAAGCCCCTCGCATGCAGTGTCCCACGTGTTCCCCGGGGAAAGGGCCGGGCATGCTGGCAGGGGATCTCACAGGGAGTGAGCCCAAAGCGAGCAGAGGACACGTGACCGTTCTACAAAGGGAAAGAGCGAGGACCTAGAAGAGGTAACCCATCTTCCTGCAGTCAAAACAGCCAGCACGCACCTGTGGCAGGATCAGAAGAGACCCTGCTCTGGATGCCACAGCCGTCAGCGTTTCCCTGCACAGTGAGAGCCCAGAGCGGAGACGAGGCTCCAGCCAGGAGAGCAGGTGACTGTCTACTCCGCTGCCCAGCCTGCCTCTTCACATCCAGCGACACGCACAGCCGGGCACACGCACAGCCAGGGACACGCACAGCCGGGCACACGCACAGCCGGGCACACGCACAGCCGGGGACACGCACAGCCGGGCACACACACAGACAGGGACCAGCAGACAGGTTCGCTGTCGAAACTCCTACAGCGCTTTACTACAGGGATTCATCACTGTAATTAATCATCCTTTCTCATGAGTTTTCTAATTAAGCTGTGAAAGGTTTTTCGGCATCTTAAGCTCAATGCGTTATCTAAAATGTACACCCTTCTATCCAGCACATCTCCTGCAGGGATTCATCTAAGAACATAAGTGATACAGAGCATAAGAATTTCCATCCTACTAATAACAAACCCTGGATGCAACGTAGTGCCCCTCAGTAAACTCATCTACAAGACGAATGGTGGTACAGTCATTACAAACGTCTGCACTGCTAAAATCACTGATGGGAAGATATTCACAATATAATTAATGAGGGGGGAGAAGTTTACACTACACGATATATACGTGAGCTCATTTCTGTAAAAGTTAGAAAATACACATCTGTACGTATGAATAGAAAGGTTTACAAGGGTAGACACACTCAAACGTTAAGTGCAGTTCCGTTTGGGTAGTGGATTTTTTTAAATGCTTTTCTGTATTGTCTGGATTTTCTTGTACTCCCCACTTTAACAAATTACTTTTTCAATTTAATCAGAAAAAACCACTTCAGCTTTGAAAGGGCGTATTCAGAACACACACTCAGGAAAGTGATAAGTTCCCCGGGACGACCCCGTGGGGCAGGGGGAACACAGGAACTCACCTGAGAAGCGATGTTGAGCGTGACCGTGTCCAGCCCCCCGGAGAGCAAACCCTGAGTGTCAGCCAGGGTCAGCGTGACACTGGCCTCTGCCCCCACTCCCGATGAGGACATGACCAGGTTCTGGGCAGATGTGGCAGATGGGGACATGGGTGTTGTCAAAGGCAGGCTTCCAGCTGTGGCATTAAGTTCTACAGAAGAGGCAAAACGGGAAAGTAGGTAAGTCCAATGTTATTCGCACGGGAAGACAGTGTTCATAAAGGAACGCATCTGTCATAATCAGCATTTACATTGCCTGAGCTTGTGAAAGTGCACGAAGGCAATCACAGTATCTTTGATTCCAACGTTATGGCAAGGCTTCTGTAAATATCTACATGTCCTTACACGTAAATGTACTCTGCTTCTGAAGTGTAAACAGAGAAAAAAGCCGTAAAGGAGAGTGAAAAAGTGACCCTAAGGCCCAGTCACCGCTGCCAGTGCAGAAGGAGACTCAGACAAGAATTTCCAGGACACTGTCCTCATCCAGGACCAGAGACCAGCCTGGAGAGAGGAATGAAACGGGACCCACTGAGCGACAACCAGCTCCACAGTGTAACATCTGACAACTGTGCTTACGTTCACCTATTCTGAAACACAGGCAATCAAAATCAACCTCATGCAATCCTTTAAATACTAATTTATCCTGCAGGACACCTTAATTTTCTTTGGAGAACAAAACAAAACACTATAATATTTTCCCCTTGTAGCTAACGATATAACAGAAAGGAAGACGTCTGGGACATATCGGGCAAAGAAAGGAAGGCCTTCTCTTCCACAACACTGAAACTCATGCACCTACTGGCAAACGAAATGGGCTTAGCATGGTATTATCAAAGTCCTGTGGCGGGCACCAACAAAACACAATTGTTTAAAGTTTTTACTTGTAAGCATAACACACATGCACATGCACGTGTACACACACGCACGCACAATTCTCACAAGCTGTCCTTCCATTCATCTAGCAAACGTGACTTATCACCCACTTGCATCAGCCACCGTTCCAGGTGCTAGCAACCCCAAGATGACACCTAAAGCAGAACTTCCGAACACTAGTCCCTAATTAGGTCTGAACACAAAACACCACGAGACTCCCGCGGTCCTCTGCTGAGACCTGGGTCTGCCCGAGTCGGGCACAGGGAACCAGGCTACTTACTTGTAACTGGCGTCCTCCACAGATCCACACTCCCGGAGTCCCACACTGTGCGGCACACACCTGGAACCTTCAAAAGCAGTACAACCATTAGGAGGCTGGGAGTCTCCGCTCTGAAGCAGCCACGCGGCTCCCGAGAACCTCGCCAGCCCCCCCTCGCTCGCGTCTGCACAGCGCCCGTGCCCGGCCGCCAGGACGGGAGGGGAGTGTGGATCTGCGGAGGTACCCGGGCTACCACCTCACCGGGCATCCCCTCCACATACCCGAACTCTCGCAAACGCATGCAGGTGTGACGCCATCGGGAGGGGTGAGGATGAACAAGAAGGACCCTGCAGGACCTGGCGAGGAGCAGCTCCACAAGCTGCCGTTCAGTCAGAACCCTAAGGAGAGGATGGGGCCGGCCGCAGGGCGCGGGCTGGAGAAGCACGGTGGTGTGAGGGCCACGTCGGCCAAGAGCACCCCACGGGCTCAGGGATCATCCCGGAGTAGCCACAGGACTCCAGACCTCACCACAACTCCTGCAACTAAGGAGACGCAGACCTTCTCCCCTTCCGACCAGTGAACTACGTCCGACGTTCTGAGGATGGTTAAGGTAGTGGAAGGTTCCAGGACGTGCAGCACAAGGAATGCAAAGAGAAAACAGAAGCCTGCGAGTTCATTAACTAAGGTGAACCCTGACACAAAGTTCAGAGAAAAGACTGAACAACTTCACGGAAGGCCAGAGCTCATATTTCAACTCAAACAGTGTGGTGGTGACGCAACCTTTAATAATGTTCTTAATTCAAGAGACTTCCCACAAGAAGGATGACCCTAGTTCAGGCAGAACTAGTCTCAATATGGTCGAAAAGAACCTGTGTTTAAAAATTTTCTTACGCATGCAATTAAATGATTAAAATAATAAAAAGCTGTAATTATATTTGTTTAATACAGACCTCTTAGCCATATGAAAGTATTTGCTTAAAGCTCTAGAAGCCATAATTTAAAATTCAAATTAAATACTCTTAACAGGAAAATTAAGATTCAATACTGAAGTAAACACTGTAGACTCTTACTTTTAGTTCCCACTTATTTTTTCTTATTTCTTCTATTCCCCTAGGACACATCACAGCCACCTAAGCCCTACTTCACTTCATGACTCTTAACTCAAAAAGAGTAACCTTTAAAGGATTAACAAGTTCTGTATGTTCATCAAACCCACCCTGTTTTCAGTCTTTTTTGGGATAAGTCTTCACAGCCTCTAAGAAAACTTAATGATAATTTTGGAGGGTTTCATAACAAGCTGACAAGGTGTGAGATCACTTTTTTCTTGAGATTAACAAAAAAGGGGTGAGAGGAGGCGGGGAGTCGGGAACAGGAAAGGTGCCCTGACTGGCCTCACCCCCAGGAAGAGTGGGAAGAGCGTCTGATGGTAAAGTGCACCCACTGGTAGGGGCCGTTAACATTTCTGAGCTGTTGGGAAGTAAGTAACTGACTGTACTTAAATCTAGGAGAAACGGAGGTCAAAATAACCTCACAGAGAACTAGTAAACAAAGAACTGATCCTTCTCTCACTGAAAGCAGAACTCAATTCATCACCAACATTACCTTAAAAAGGGACTCAGATGACTATGAAAACACGGCGACCCAGAACCTACGGGGCGCAGCAAAACCAGTTCCAAGAGGGAAGTTTGTAGCACTACAGTCCCACCTCAAGAAACAAGAAACATCTCAAATAAACAACCTAACCTTACACCTAAAGGAATTAGAGAAAGAAGAACAAAAAAACCCCCAAAGTTAGCAGAAGGAAAGAAATCATAAAGATCAGATCAGAAATAAACAAAAAAGAAATCAAGGAACCAACAGCAAAGATCAATAAAACTGAAAGCTGGTTCTTTGAGAAGATAAACAAAATTGATAAACCATTAGCCAGACTCATCAAGAAAAAAGGGAGAAGACTCAAATCAATAGAATTAGAAATGGAAAAGGAGAAGTAACAACTGACACTGCAGAAATACAAAGGATCGTGAGAGATTACTACAAGCAACTCTATGCCAATAAAATGGACAACCTGGAAGAAATGCACAGATTCTCAGAAATGCACAACCTTCCGAGACTGAACCAGGAAGAAATAGAAAATATAAACAGATCAATCACAAGCATAGAAATTGAGACTGTGATTAAAAATCTTCCAGCAAACAAAAGCCCAGGACCAGATGGCTTCACAGGCGAATTCTACCAAACATTTAGAGAAGAGCTAACACCTATCCTTCTCAAGCTCTTCCAAAATATAGCAGAGGGAGGAACACTCCCAAACTCGTTCTATGAGGCCACCATCACCCTGACACCAAAACCAGACAAGGATGTCACAAAGAAAGAAAACTACAGGCCAATATCACTGATGAACATAGATGCAAAAATCCTCCACGAAATACTAGCAAACAGAATCCAACAGCACATTAAAAAGGATCATACACCATGGCATGATCAAGTGGGGTTTATCCCAGCAATGCAAGGATTCTTCAGTATATGCAAACCAATCAATGTGACACACCATATTAACAAACTGAAGGAGAAAAACCATATGATCATCTCAATAGATGCAGAAAAAGCTTTCAACAAAATTCAACACCGATTTATGATAAAAACCCTCCAGAAAGTTGGCATAGAGGGAACTTACCTCAACATAATAAAAGGCCGTATATGACAAACCCACAGCCAACATCATTCTTAATGGTGAAAAACTGAAACCATGTCCACTGAGATCAGGAACAAGACGAGGTTGCCCACCCTCACCACTATTATTCAACATAGTTTTGGAATTTTTAGCCACAGCCATCAGAGATGAAAAAGAAATAAAAGGAATCCAAATCGGAAAAGAAGAAGTAAAGCTGTCACTGTTTGCAGATGACATGATGCTATACACAGAGAATCCTAAAGATGCTACCAGAGAACTACTAGAGCTAATCAATGAATTCGGTAAAGTAGCAGGATACAAAACTAATGCACAGAATCTCTTGCATTCCTACACACCAATGATGAAAAATCTGAAAGAGAAATTAAGGAAGCACTCCCATTTACCACTGCCACAAAAAGAATAAAATGCCTAGGAATAAACCTACCCAAGGAGACAAAAGACCTGTATGCAGAAAACTATAAGACACTGATGAAAGAAATTAAAGATGATACAAACAGATGGAGAGAGATACCATATACTTGGATGGGAAGAATCAACATTGTGAAAATGACTCTACTACCCAAAGCAATCTACAGATTCAGTGCAATCCCTATCAAACTACCAATGGCATTTTTCACAGAACTAGAACAAAAAAATGCACAATTTGTATGGAAACACAAAAGACCCCGAGGAGCCAAAGCAGTCTTGAGAAAGAAAAACGGAGCTGGAAGAATCAGGCTCCCGACTTCAGAATATACTACAAAGCTACAGTAATCAAGACAGTATGGCACTGGCACAAAAACAGAAATACAGATCAGTGGAACAGGATAGGAAGCCCAGAGATAAACCCACGCACATACGGTCACCTTATCTTTGATAAAGGAGGCAAGAATATACAATGGAGGAAAGACAGCCTCTTCAATAAGTGGTGCTGGGAAAACTGGAGAGCTACATGTAAAAGAATGAAATTAGAACACTCCTTAACACCACACACCCAAATAAACTTAAAATGGATTAAAGACCTAAACATAAGGCCAGACACTATAAAACTCTTAGAGGAAAACATAGGCAGAACACTCTATGACATAAATCACAGCAAGATCCTTATTGACCCACCTCCTAGAGAAATGGAAATAAAAACGAAAATAAACAAATGGGACCTAATGAAACTTCAAAGCTTTTGCACAGCAAAGGAAACCATAAACAAGATCAAAAGACAACCCTCAGAATGGGAGAAAATATTTGCAAATGAAGCAACTGACAAAGGACCAATCTCCAAAATTTACAAGCAGCTCATGTGCAGCTCAATATCAAAAAAACAAACAACCCAATCCAAAAAATGAGCGGAAGAGCTAAACAGACATTTCTTCAAAGATACACAGACAGTCAACAAACACATGAAAAAATGCTCAACATCACTAATCATTAGAGAAATGCAAATCAAAACTATAATGAGGTACCACCTCACACCAGTCAGAATGACCATATCATGAAAAAATCTACAAACAGTATGGGGGGTTCCTTAAAAAACTACAAATAGAACTACCATATGACCCAGCAATCCCACTACTGGGCCTATACCCTGAGGAAACCATAATTCAAAAAAAGTCATGTACCACAATGTTCACCGCAGCTCTATTTAGCCAGGACATGGAAGCAACCTAAGTGTACATCGACAGATGAATGGATAAAGAAGATGTGGCACATATATACAATGGAATATTACTGAGCCATAAAAAGAAACGAAATTGAGTTATTTGTAGGGAGGTGGATGGACCTAGAGTCTGTCATACAGAGTGAAGTAAGTCAGAAAGAGAAAAATACCGTATGCTAACACATATATATGGAATCTAACAACAACAAAAAAAGGTTCTGAAGAACCTCGGGGCAGGACAGGAATAATGATGCAGATGCAGAGAATGGACCTGAGGACACAGGGAGGGGGAAGGGTGAGCTGGGACGAAGTGAGGGAGTGGCATGGACATATATACACTACCAAATGTAAAACAGAGAGCTAGTGGGAAGCGGCCGCATAGCCCAGGGAGATCAGCTGGGTGCTTTGTGACCACCTAGAGGGGTGGGATAGGGAGGGTGGGAGGGAGACGCAAGAGGGAGGAGATATGGGGATATATGTACATGTACAGCTGACTCACTCCTTTATACAGCAGAAACTAACACACCATTGTAAAGCAATTATACTCCAATAAAGATGTTTAAAATAAATAAAGTATTCTAAAATCAAAAAAAAAAAAAAAAGGGACTCAGGTAAGAACAAAAAGACAATGTTAAATTCCTTAAAAAGCTGTGCTAAATTTCAAGCCTCCACTAATAATAACTTTCTGCCTCTGAAAGGGTACTTATAGAATACTTGCCCATTTTCTAGGAAACCCCTTTGTCATGGGTGTTACCTGGATCGGATCTGGAAATGGCCTTCAAACCCATATCACACATCTGAACAAAAGCACATGCTTTCGTTCTGGATGTGAAATTCTGACTCATCGGGGCACATCGACTTATTTGTAAATCCCTAAATGGTAACAGCCTACTTCCAACTAAGGCGCAAAGAGCCCAAAAGCTGCCCTAGAAGCTGGCAGCCCACCACGTGCTGCTCACACAGAGAGTTAACGACGACAACCATGCGCACAGTCACCATGCTCGTCCCCTGCCCGTGAGACCATCACTCTGTATCTGTGGAGGCAGATGTACAAGGTGGAACACCTAATGTCTGACTCACAGAAGACAGATGCTTTCCACAGGTGATCAAGGGCCTGCAACATGACTTTCACCGGGTGACACCGAAAGTCTGTATTTTGGTGCTCATCTTAGAAGAGGCGTGTTTAATCTCAAAGTCACTTCAATTTCAGTTCTTATTGGTGTGGCCTGAAGCTCGGCCTGGGGCTGACTGATTCTAAGATAAATGTTGCCCATTAAGATGCAATCTCTTGACAATAGGATATAGATGAAATCAGCCACTTAATTATAACTAGCACTAGTGGAATACGCAAACCTCTCTAAAAACATCTGCTTAGAGTCAAGGATCAAGTGGTTCAGCGTATGAAGAATCTTTTCCTATATTCAGGATTATTCAAAGATGCCAAAGGTATTTGAGATCGTAATACAACTGAGTTGCTTATATAAAACTAATCCTGTATTTATAATAACTGATACTACATTATTAAACAAATGTCCTTTAGTTATGAGCACACCTTTTATTTTCTAATATCATGAAACTCCTGAAAAAAATTTTTTAATAAGGTACCAAATTAAGCTAAAGTAGCGTCAAAAAAGAAGAAGAGAGAAAAGTTCTCAGCTGGCTCTACAACAATAAGTCTTAAGAGAGAGAAAAAAAAAATTAAATCAGAAGAAAGGGGCCTGCGTGTTGTTTTTAAAGAAACATCAGTGCATGGCATACAGGAGCCCTGTACACAACTGACCGCTCTTCCCCTGCCCGTGAGACCATCACTCTGTATCTGTGGAGGCAGATGTACAAGGTGGAACACCCATTGTCTGACTCACAGAAGACAGAGGTTTAAAGAAATACAGGTGGCCAGAACAGAGCCCTCTGCGTTCCTGGGCTCTCCCTCCATCCCCTTCTCCACTCTGATCAGAACATCACCAGCTTTAAGTAATCTGCTGTACCAGCGAACATCCAGGGTCACCAAGTAGCGCAAAACACTCCTCCATTTAAAGGGAAACACCTAAAACTCTCCTTGTCTTTCCATCGATTTGCCCAGGACTCACTACAGACATGAAGCAGGGCTTCCAAGGAGATGTAAGATTCCACCACCTACAGCCAGTTTACTCCTCAGGGAAGCAGGAGGCGGGGAGAGCCTGACATCCCAGCATTCCAGGACAGAGACCCCCACCAGAGCGTGACACCACTCATTCGGGCCAAACACAAGAGACACATCTTCATGTTGCAACACGCACCGCGCACCACGCACCACGCAGGGTGAGAGAGGTGATCAGAACCCCAGAGGTGATAAGAAAGAACACAGTGTCTAGTCCTTTACAAAAAGACACAAACTAAGACTTTCAGGAAACAGCTGCAGAAACAAGTTTGCTATGTAACTTGAGTAGTACATGATATACTGTAGAAGTCTTACCTATTACAGGCTAAATTATAATCTGAAAGTACTAGCTTTCATAGCCAATTATAATATAAAACAAAATTCCCCTGAATTGCAAACAAAACCAAAAGACTCTCATTTCAAATTAATAAGTACAAGAATTCAGTTCTGGGATACAATTTTCTTAGAGCCCCAAAATTAAACAAGCAAACCGACGCAGGAGGGACAGAGTTAAAAGCCAAGTAGAGACAGGAACACACGGAGAGCAGTGGTACAGTGGAAACGGTCATCGGCCAGAAGTCCAGAGTTTGCATCTGCCCAGATCCGCCAACACGTGATTCCAACAAGGCTCTTAACCAGCCGGGTGTCAGTTTACCCTTCAGCAAAGGGGAGGGGTGGACAGAAAGCCCCTCAGGGTCCTGAGTGGAACCTCACTGTGTGCAGCTGCCTCAGCTCACCGCCTGCTTCACTTCATCAAGTCCCCGCCCTGCGGCATCTGCAGATCCATCAAGCCCTCGCTCGCGGGGGAGAAATGCCCCCCCACGGCCAGGGCTCCCGCCTCGGGAGGCCGCCCCGACCAGGTCAACCCCCCACCCCTGAGACGTGCTCCCTGGGCGCCCTTCTCCCCTTTATGCATCGCTACTGCCGTTAATCCTACACTGATTTACGGCTTTCTTCAATAAACGTCTGCTCTGTTCGTTTCTAGGACCCAAAATGCAAGGGGACCGTAGTTGCCTTGCCCAACATGACACACCCAGATTTAGTATACTTCTTACCATACAGTATGCACCACAATCTTTCAGTGAATAGAAGAATTACTGGCTAAGAAAGCATTTCAATTAAGCACGAAAAAAAGTCTAGCTGGGGGTACAAACATATCTAAAGATTAAATTTTTTTTCTCAAAAAATGATATACAGAGTTGGAAAATAAAGAGGGCTAAGAAAGTAATGAAATCTCTACAAGGTAAGGCAAACAGGTATGGCATCCTCAACTGTTAACGCTTACTTATGAAGCTGTGACCTATTTTACTGGAGCTCTATTTTTTATTAAAGCCTATACTTCAAAACCTTAGTAAGATGTCTTCTTTTAATTCTGCCATCCTACCTTCAGCTGGTGCCCAAACATTCTCACCGCAGGGCATAAAGTAATGAGCCAGAGGCACTTTCAGCCTGGGTGACACAGGGACAGCTTTGTGACTTGCAGACATACACAATGCCTTGCATATTTGAATAAGATTATTTACCTTTGTTCTTTAGAAGGTGGAAACGATCTTAAAAGGTTAATAACACTCGAGACAGTTCTGTGTCCTAGAATTATACATAAGCCACTAATCATCACAGAATCACATCAAACGTATTAGAACACGCAGCTGACACACTCGTCACGCAAGAAGACAGGTGACTTCTCTCCGCTGACCAGGTGCAGAGCCCTATAACTATGAGACGTTATGAAGCCTCTCGTGGCTGGATCATTAGCTGCATACCTGAAGCGTTTAATGTTGCACTCTGTGAGAGAAGTTGATCATTGCTTATGGTCAAGGTGGCGCCCGTAGATTGATTATTGATTGCAGGTGCTGACAATCTTATGCTTCCGTTCAGTTCACTACTTCCATTAGAACTGTGCTGAATAAGATCTTGACCTAAACAGAAATTAATACTGTGATATCTGAGAGTAACACATTAATTCACATACTGGCAAGTATGTTAAACATATAATAACATCCTTTTAAAAGTGAAAGCTATTTCATTTTTAATACTATTTAAAGAGAAAAAAAAATGAAAATAAGACCATGAAATACATTTCCCAAAATGAAACTACCTGTTCACACTTTTTAAGCTATAAAGTTTTTAAGTGCGTCTTAAGAGTTCTACTTTAACCCAGAATTTAGGCACTTAGAGCTACACACTTTGTTGAATAAAACTTAAACCGAATTGGAAATACTTCCAAACATGGTGGACTCCCAGCTGCAGCATCGAGGGGCACGAGGGAGGGTACCAAGGCCTCCCTTGCGGCAGCAGTGGCCGCTACAGGTCTCCTGCGGGAGGGTCACTGCCCCACGGCGCTCTGGACGCGCACAGCAGGCTCAAGCACGCCGTGATGTACTCCCACCGAGAGACATGGGCTTCTGTCAGCTTCATTAGCTTGTAACCTTTACATTACAGCATAATTGTATAATGTAATAAGATAGTATGGAAACAGAGGAACATGAAAATTAAAAACCCGAGCTGTTTCAATGAAAACCAAAAGACAAAAGGATGCTGCACTCAGCTTCATCATCACCGACACCCTCATGCCACACTAGAGAAACAGAACTGGGGAATGAGTCTGTGCAACAGGGGTGGAAGTGTGGGCAAAGTAAAACGTGCAGAACTCCTACCAGCAGAGCAGACCCATTTTCAAAGACCTGCGGATAAATGCTCAAAATCGTGTAGGCATCGTTTTTCTGACTCTCTGCTTGACGTGGCTTTCTATTAATAACTAAAGACATCAGGTAAGAGCACTTTTACTTACACGACAACTGGGGGAGACTGAGGACCCTCCTCGCCTTTTACCCAATGTTTAACTTCTTTCCCAAACAGCTTAGGAATTGCTAAAGGTCTGTACACCTTAACTGAAGTAGTATTTGCATTCTAGCATTCATAAGCATTTATAATTCTGTGCATTCATGGAAAACAGAACATTCGACAATATAACCAAACATTTCTATAGCACAGCTAGATGCTTTCCACAGGCGACCACAAATTAAAAGTTTTTCTAGACTTCTCAGCATGTGACAAGAAAATGTTGAGTTAGTAGTCCCCACAGCCAATTCTCATTACACACAATAATGAGAAGTAAAGGAATAAGAAATCTTAAGCCCAGAGTTTGGGCAACCCCTATATTTCATCAACTGACAAAGATTTCTCCTAGGATAACCCTTTTAAGCTTTTTTATTTTTAATTGCAGTTATATTCACCTAATACACTAAAAATTAACAATAAGATAACTAAATGATCGATAATAGGAAAACATAGGAGAAACAGAAGTACAAGCCACAAACACAAAAACACATTTGCCGAACTATATGTTATGTGTTTTTTGTATAGGACTAGCACAACCCCTCAAATATTGAGATTATGCAAAAAAAGTTAATTCCATCAACAAAACAGCTTTCTGAAAATAACTCTTCCATGTTTCCAACATTAAAATTCAAATATATATATATATAAAAGTACACATATTTTAAATAAAAAAGAAGCGAGTTAGTGAATTAGATAAAATTCAAAGTTAATTTCTGCTGCCTGCTAGCATCAAAAAACCACTGCGCGTCACTGAGAAGCAAAGCTCCATCCAGGAATAGTTCCTCAAACTTCTCACATAAATTGAAAGGAATAAAGACACCCCTTAAGAAAGCAAGCTTTTGGTTTTCTTCTCAGTAACTACTCTTTCTTTTCCAATAATGATTTTTGCAGAAAACTCAGGCAACAGAGGTAATAACTACACTGACCGCTCACACGGCTATCAGCCCAGTATTCCAGCCACTGCCATACTATGTCTCCAGGGAGGTTATTTTGACCCCAGCAAAATGTTTTTCTTTTCTTTTTTTTTTTTCTTTAAAAAACAACAATCTCATAAGGTTGTTATGAGACTTAAATGAGTTAATATTTGTCAAAGTTACTAGAACAGGACCTGGTGCACTGTAAGGGTCAAAAAATTGTTGCTAAATTTAAGAACCACTCAGTTAACATGAAGAGCTCATAGCTAAGAGTCATGTGGGCAAAGCGCACCTGTAAAATATGCTCCAAGCTAACTCAGATGAGAACATATTGTGAGAATTAATGCTCTATACGGGGAAGAACTGACCGTGAACATCACAGGCCTGGAACAGGGAACACATTAGCTGGTGACTCACATGGAGGATGAGTTTGCCAAGCTCGGTGGCCTGGGCTGCCAAAGGGTGTCTTCCGCCCACTTATCTAGTTCTACCATAATTTTCTACATAATCTGAGAAGAATTCTGAAAAGGTCAGGGGGGTAGGTATCTGTAATCTCCTAGTGTAACCACTTATACCGATTCAACTCCTTTAGCTCAAAGGAGCATGGTAAGAATTATGAAGCCATGGTTTTCTGCTCTTGGTTAAACAAAATATATCTGACAAAGCTACCTGGCTCAAACTGGACGTGCCGTGAGGAACCACCACGTTTAATCCCTGGTATCAGATGGGAGCTGCAGGATGATCATTCTCACATAAATTACAAACACTTCCTGAGGCACTGGATTTAGGCAAAGCTCAGTCTTGCAGGAAAAAGATACAAAAAAGAGTTACCTAAACTGCAGGTGAAAGGATTTAAAAACTTTTAAGACTAACCGGAGATGGTCAGGGTGATTTCCTGCGGTGACCCTGAGGACGACACAGCGGTGGGCCCGGCAGCCTGCGCCAGCACCTGGCTCAGGCTCGAGTTGTTAATGGTCAGGGTGATCTCGTGGGGGCCACTGGAGGTGGACACCAGGCCTTGTGATGTCATCACCTGAGAGAGGTCTTGCGTCCCTGGTCATCGTCATAAAACAGAACAAAGCTGGGCTTAAAAAAATAATCATTTCCTCCTTGTTCATATTAAAATATTTTAGTGCAACTGTTACTTTAAAAAGAGAAGGATTCAAAATACAGTATCAGTCATCTCTAATTCCTTAATCTGAAATCATTTAAAAACAAACAAAAAGCCTTATGAGGAAATAGGAAGCCGGTTCCATGAATGCAATCTCTGTGCATATGCTGACTAAACATCATTTATCGTCAGAAAAGCTTACTTTATTCTTAGGACATTTATTCGTTAAGCTTTATAAAGAGAAGAAAACAGCATCCCAGTGTCCCCAAACCAAATCTGTGACTGTCAGCAGCGAGCTGAAACTCCAGCTGTCACAGTCAACCGAAGCGGCAGCTCTCACCACTGCTGCTGGTGGTCAGCACGGAATCCTGCTCCGAGAGCGGGCCTATGGTCAGGTTGGCAGACGTCACCGTGGGCTGCAAGGACAGGCCTGAGATGGGCTGGAGGACCACGCTGGCCGGGACTGTACTGTCTGGTGTCTGAAGGGAGCTGTGCTGCGGGGCCAGGCCGGGCTCCACGGTCGGCTGTGGAGCAAGCAGGTTACCCTGCTGTAACGTCTGCTGCAGGACGCTTGGGTCAATCTGAAAGCACAGAGGTTGTTGTGATGGAAATTTCATGCGGAGTGTGACTCAGACCATCTGAAAGCACAGAAAAGCCTGGTGGGTGTCGCACCTGTAGCGTGATATTATTAATGCTGGAAGCGTCGATCCCAGAGATTTGAACACTGGGTGCAACCAAGTTAGCAGCCAACTGTAACTGTATGCCCTCGAGGGTGGCCAGGCTTCCATCTGTCAAAGACACTGTCCAGTCGCCACCAGCTGCAGAGGAAGAACAGGAATGACTGCGTACCAGACACTTTCTCCAACAGGAAAAACGCACTGGGTTTCTAAATACAGAAGTTCTAAACACATACCGACATGACCTAGTTAACAAATACTAATATTTACTTTACATAGGCACATACATACCTAATTTAATCATCACAAAACAAACCTTGTGAAATAGAAAATAATATTATCCATTTTAAACACATCAGAAAACTAGGCTCCAAGAGATCACACTGATGAGCCCAGGATTTAAAACAACGCTATTATCTTGTCTTATTATGCTTTAATTGCACCGTGGGTCATGAAACTGAAAGAAAGCCACTTAAGGTGTCCAGTAGCTACTAACAGTTGCTACGTTACTTGTGAGTGCACAAAAAACCCAACTGACTAAAATTTAATGCTTTTCAAATACTGTGTGACCCAAGAGCAATTGGATAACTCGTATATGAGAAGCAAGGTTCACGGGTAGCTATAAATTACGTCTCGCTATTAAGTTTGTGAGAATACTAAAAAAGAAACAGGTTTAAGCCCATCAAACTAAACAAAGAGCTGAAGCCTGAAATGCAGAAGTGACGTTAGAAAGAATGGGAAACGGAAAGGCAGCTGTGTCTGGAAGTCAGGACTTCAACCTCCCGCGACCTCGCGGGAAACCCTCAGGAAGGGCAGTGTCCTGAGGCTGAAGGCCCCCCCCGCCCAACCGTCCCGGCGTCCACAGCCTTGGTGCCTGTCAGCCCTACTCACCGGACACGGAGGCGGGAAGGACGGCCTGGCCCAGCAGGCCCTGCTGCAGCAGACTCTGGTCCAGCTGCCCCGCCAGCACGGGGCTGTTCATGATGAACACGCTGGGGTCGGAGGAGGGCGGAGGGGGCGCGCTCACGGGCTGCGGCCCTTCCGGCGGCCCCCGGGGCCCAGGCTTCCTGGCTTTCTTAGGGTCCGGTTTGTAGTGAAACTGCATGTGAGTCTTCCTCCGCCCGGACGTGCGGAAACGCAGCTCACAGTGGGGACACTTGAACGGCTTTGCTCCTGTGTGCAAACGCATGTGGACCTTCAGGCTCCCCTTGGTGGAGAAGGCGTTGCTGCAGACGTGGCAGCTGAAGAGCTTCTGACCTGGGAGAAGAAGCCGTGCGTCAGCGGACTGGCCGGGTCGCCCCCGTCGGCCTGCGGCCTGGCTGCCACCGCGCTGCGTCCACCGTCCCCCGCGCTCCCCGGGGCCCCTCGCTCCGGAGGGCCGGTGGCTGGAAAACTTAAAAGTAAGCGAAGTTCACTGTCGAGGATCCGAATTCAGTCTTTCCACGACACGGAGGCACACCAAGCCCTGCCGGAAGCGGGGACCCGCCCTGCATCTCGGGCTCCGCTCCCTGATTTTACGAAGCGTGAGCTCACGCCTCACCGGTCTTCTCCGCTGACAAAGGGGCGCCCGAGCCGCCGGCACAGGTGGGAGCCGCCCGGCAGACTGCACTCCGGGCGCACGCGCCCAGCTCCTGGGGCGCCAAGTCCTCTAACACAGGCGCGCTGCAGGGTGAAGAAGGCCCGGCAGGCGGGGCTGGGCGCGGCGGCAGGGCCCTGGGGCTGGCAGCCGCGCTGCTCGGGCCGCAGAAGTCAGCTGAGGGGGGCCCTGGAAGGTGTCTTCCCAGAGACTCTCTTCCTAGTCCTGACGCCCAGGAGCCCACACGGAGGCTTGGTGCGCAGGAGGCGTCCTTAGGGTGGCCGGCACCTGCCGCGTGAGCTACCACGCGAGACCCGGGACACAAAGCCACTAAGCGGGTCCCTCCTGACCCTCGGCAGCGCCCAGGGCTGCAGGGGAGGGTCAAGCACAGATCCTAAGGAAACAACAGAAGAACTGTCCGTAGAATAGGCAGCTGAAGGACTTCGTGTATCTGTTTACCTAATTCCACACACGAACCCGTCAGAAAAGAATCACAGGACTTTATGCCTACGTGTGAAATTCCACTTGTACTCCCTTGGTCAATTCTGCTTACGGCCAAAACTTCAGAGTGTAAATTGGTTTGATAGTCATAATCCTACGTGTCCTCACGACGCTAACATTTACTCCGTGTTTACCAGGTGCTACTTTTACTTTTCTAGGCAGTTTAAACCGGGGGGTGGGGGGAGGGTACTCGTGTTTGCCCCATTTTCTACATGAGGGATGGGCGGGTCAGAGAAGTGGCTCACAAGTGAGGACAGACTCCAACCGGGCAGAGGCCCGGGCCGCCTCCTCACCCATGAGGGCGCACCGCGCACAGTCAAGAAGCGAAGCTTGAGTACCTTTTACTTAGGACGATTAACCTTCAGTTCCTCACATTAGGTGAAGAAAATGGCCATGAAATTTGGACGTTAATTGTTTCCCTTTATCAGATTTCCCACAGAAACAGAGTTGCTCCCTGGTAAGTGTGATCAGATTTGTGAAATCCCCAGTTTTCACAAAATTTCAACAAACTGAAACTCTGGCCTGAATGAGACTAAGAGGTAATCTTCCTAACACAGGCATTTAACTCTGAGTAAGACAACTTACAACGCCACATCTGAGACCTAGATCCTTTCCTTTGGTGTCAGAGATCACTTTCTCCATGTTGGGAATCACAAATCTTCCATATTCATTTCTTCATGGTTGCTGATTTTTAAGCTTTGTTTCATCTTGAAAGTATGTGTGCAAAAAAAATACACAGGAACAAGTATAAAATGCTGTCGGAAGGCATCTACCAACAGTGCAGGTGTTTGCTCCTACCTGTGTGAGTCTTCACATGGCAGTCCAGGGTAGATTTAACAGTGAAACTCTTCCCACATTCATCGCATTTATATGGCTTTTCTCCAGTGTGGATTCGAACATGCCTAGCCAGAAAGCATTTGCAATTAAGTGTCTTTCTTTTTAACTTTATACGCATTTACAAACAACTTCATGATTTAAAATTTATAGCTATCCATATAAATAAAAATTATGCATGACTATGTACTGAATAACTTTAGCAAAACAAAACTTTTAAGCTTCACTCTATATAAATAATACCATAAACAAAAATCCACAAGACAACAAAGTAATCTGCAAGACCAATGAAAACAAGGCTAACTTTCCTGAAAACCAAAGAGAATCTTACAAATCAGCAGTAAGACAAGAAATATCACAGTAGAAAAACAGGCAACACACAGGCAGCATAGAGAAGGAACACACGCACCCAAATGCCACATGAAAAGGTATTCCCCAGCCTCAGAATTTAAAAGGAGCAAGTTAAAATGACAAGCCATCCCTTTCCCATCTGTCTGACGATGACCCACTGTCGGCTGGGGGGCCTAGGGGCAGGTGTTCAGAGGCTGGGGGATGTAAACGGCACAGCCCTCGGAGGCCAGTGGGTGTGTCCATCAGCACTGACCCCGGGCACCCACACAGGTGCGCACAGAGCACAGGACAGTGGGGCTGGCCTAGTGATTCCACACTGAGAACTAGGCAGTCATCAACAGGGGTCTGGGATGCCCACACGACAGAACAAGACGTCGCCGTGAAGGATGAAAGAGGTGGGCGGGTACTGACAAAGCTGTCTGAGACCCCACAATATGTAACAATTAAACCGAGACCAGAATTGCATAAGTTAATGCTGACGTGTGAGTAGACATTTCTGAAAAAACGCACAGAAGAAACTGCTGATAGCGCTTGTCTCTGGGGAGGGGAAGGCTCTCCCTTCATAGCCTCCTCCGCTGTTTTCGGTCCTGGGTTGCTTCACCAGGACGCCTGTCCAGTACGCAGTGGGGGCAGCTGAGCCTCGCACGATTGTTAAATGAAGGACGGAGGAGAAGGCAGGCCGGCTGCCAGGCCGCAGCAGGCTTCTCGTTTCCAGGGGCACCTGCCACCTCGCCCCCTCACGGGGGTGCAGGGTCAGCAGTCCTGCCTCCGGGGCGCGCCTCCAGGCCCGGCTGGCTGCTCGTCAGCACCACCCGCCGGCCACGCGCTGCAGGCCTTCTCAGCGGCGCGACGATGCCCACGGGGCTGCCCAGCACGACGCCCTCGTCTGCGATTCGCACCCCTGCCTCCCGCTGGGGCCCTGCCCCGCCCCGCACCCAGCGTGTTGCTCCCTTGTGGCCACCGCCCGGTCCTCTCCGTAGCTGAGGGTTCCAGCGTCTCACTCCCGGCCTCGGAGTCACGCTGTCATCTTCTTAGCTCGTTCCTCCTCCCCACCCACCGGGACACGACGCCATCTCGGCTCCGTGCCCAAGCTTGGCCCGGCCTTGCCCACTGCCCCTCGCCCGTCTACCCGTCCCTCTCTCACTGGCACATGCCCCTTCCCGCCTGGCAGGAATACAAGGGCAGGGGTTACTGGCTGCGCTCACGCGAGGAGCACTTCCAGCCTAGCAGCTTCTGGGCAGCCTGTCTGCCCTCCTGTCACATGCAGGGCTCTGTGCGACAGAGAGGGACAGGAAGACGCCTCTTTGGTTTTCTGAAGCAGCCGGCTCTCTTATTACCCGTCTTGAAATCCCGACAGCTCCTCCCTTCAATCACCCTCTACCTTTTACCCAGCAGTTCCACCTCCTGAAGCAAAAGACGAGCGCCACCCCCCCCGGCCCCACCCCGTAAACGAAAATCCTCCAAATGTTTTAAGAGAGTGCTGTACTTCGGCCTTCTTTCCTGGAGCCCATCTGTCAGCTGCCCTCCGCCACTCTGCCAGACCGCCACGTCAATCACCGCCTCGCGGCTGACGTGGACTCGACCCCCAGCGCTCGGGCCACCTCCCCGTGTGATGGAGCCTCGCGCCATACAGACCGGTCGCCCTGTGGGGCGGGCAGGAACCTGCTGCTGTTCTGTGCGCCTACAAGGCTGGGCTCAGCGCCGCATCTTCCTCAGGAAATGATTTTTAATTCTCTTTTACTGCGACCACCGTCACACAGAAATAAGCACAAGCACCCACAGAGCAAGCAAACCTCTAGCTAACGTGCGCAATGAGCTCGCAAGGAAGCCTCCAAACGCACACGGGCCTGCAACCATGACTCAAGAAAGGAAGGAGCCACTCAAAGGGCGCCAGGTTCAGACACCGCAGCACGGGTTGCAGAGGAGCGCGCAGACCGCACGTCCACCCCCCGGGCCGCGGGCCTGCACCGCACCTGACCAGGTCGCTGGGCTTCTTGAAGCTCTTGGGGCAGTAGGAGCAGCAGTTGGCGTGCTTGGGCTCGGCCTCCAGCTCTGCCTGCCTGTCCTTCATCTCGCTGATGCGGTCCTTCTCGGCGGCCGACTGCACCAGCACCTGCTCTGAGACAGTGGCACTTTCCTGCGGCCGAATCTTGGCCAACTGCGCCGTCTCCTCCTCTGTGAAGGTGATGACCTCGGGACGAGCCTTTCTAGACACATTTCTTTCAGAACTGTCTTCCTCTTCCTCCAGACCCATCTCTAAACAAAATGTAGGAAAAAGGATCAAATCCTAATAAAAAACGAAATGTAACAGAACAACTAAAACTAAACATTTAACTGAAATATGTAAGGTTAAAATTAGCAACTCAATGAGGCTATATTTGGGACGGTAAAAGTTTTTTCCCACCACTGTCTATTGAGAAGCTGGTCAGGGTGGAAAGGCCATGCCTCGGGGGAGGGCTCACTGCCAAGGGCAGATGCCATGGCTGATGGTCTCCGCAAGCCCTGCCAGCAGGCTGGCAGTGGGCTCTGAAAGGGTCAGTGTCCGCACGAGTCAACAGTACTCATACACACAGACGTTCATTTATCAACACGGACACAAAGTGAATTAGCGTAAGAAGACGAGCAGCCCGAAGGAAGAGACCAAACTGATACCTAGCCAACAGCTGCCAATTAAAAAGACTTACTGAAAGGAAAGAAAACACTTAAAAAATATGTATGTTTAAATATTCTCTCAGTGAAAGGTAAGGATATATTTACATCCATTAAAAAAAAAGAATAAGCTGCTGTTAAAATGTAACCGAGAAGGAAAAAAAGGTTTGGCTGGGGACAGGGGACGGGGGACTTTATTATTGCACAGATGGCTAAAAAATGTTTTTAAAAAACAGTAGAGACACTAAATAGCAAAACGGACGGCGGTCAGAGCCAAAACAGTGAACTAAAAACTGACGGATGGCCCTCTAAGTCGCGCCCCCATCTCAGCACGCTCACTCGGCCAGCATCAACGGTGTGAGGTGCACAGTGCCGGCTGCAGCACAGACAGGAGCCCAGGCCCCAGGACACCGTGTAAACTATCGACAGCATAACTCACACTGCACATGGAACAAGGTCGTTTAAAAAATTTAAAACGCTGTGCACTGGCGCCCTGGGTCAGAATCTATGCAAGGTGCACGTTCTGTCACCGTAATTTCACTCTGGAACTTGCTAAAAAGAAATCATCTCATAGGTACAAAAAGTACAGGCACAAAATAACCCTCCTGGGATTACTATACTTGGTGTGGGAACTGGGCCCATCAGCTCGTCTACCGTTTAAGTTAGCTTCACGGTATCTCGTGTCGATCAGATGAGAATGTGTGTGGTGAATAAGCACAGCGCCGAGGGTTAAAGCCCCCTGACCGCCAGCTCTTCCTGTTACACTACAGCACTGGGCAGCCACTGGGCATCCAGCAACAGGAAACCGTGTAATGAAACACAACGGAATTCCGTGCAGTCGTTAGAACTGATGTACACCCGTGCTCACTAATACCAAATTCGCCTGTCATGAACACCCATGGACGACACACCACTGCATGTAGCGTGCTTTCCTATCAGGGAATTCAGGTCCAGCTACGCGTGCGTACGTGCATGCGTGGGCGACAGCCTGCCCTGTGCGGGGACGCTGGTATTCTGGTGCCTGGTGACCAGTGAGGTGAGAAGTCTTCCTCTTGGTGCCTCCCCGAATCTTTCTTTCAAAGAGCAGATTGTGACTGCTTTCACAATCAGAGCATGACGTAAGTTAATACTGGGGTACAGATCACCCCTGAAGTGAGTTAATACTGGGGTACAGATCACCCCTGAAGTGAGTTAATACTGGGGTACAGATCACCCCTGAAGTGAGTTAATACTGGGGTACAGATCACCCCTGAAGTGAGTTAATCGCCACGTTTCCGCATTGGCTGATGATAAACCTGAATCAACAAAGGGACCACACCTCCTCCTTCTGCCTCTCCCGGTGCTGACCCAGCCGAGGGGACTGTCTGGTGCCTCTTCATGTGCTTTTTACAATGGACTGTGGTTCGGAAGCCCTGCTCGCAAAACGGACACTTGTAGGGCTTCATGCTCATGTGCGTGGCCGTGTGCCTGGTGAGGCTGCCGTTGGTTGTGAAGGAAGCGTTGCAGACGCTGCAGCTGAACGCCTTTTCTCCTGCGACAGCAGAGACGGGGTCAGAACACGTTCGTTACCTGAAAACCGCACGCGGTCAAAGCAAAGATGCGCTCAACAAGCTGCAAAACCGAAGAGCGTGTACTCGCTGCGGTCCCCAAGTTTTAGGGATTGAGGGTCCTTCAAGAAGGTTATTTTAAGAAGACGGACGGTCATAATGAAGCAGACAGATCATACTAAGCCCTGCCAAGATGTGAAATCATTGCTGGTGGACAAGGAAAATGGCGTGGCCACTCTGGAAAGGCCACTCTGGTTTGGTAAACCCCAAGGTTTAAACAGTTATCGTATGACCAAGCAAGTCCACTCCTAAACAGAGAAGCGAAAACTTGCATCCACACAGAAACGCACAAAACGTTCACAGCAAGATTATTCCTGAGAGCCAGAAACCGGCAACGCCTCAGCTGTCCAACAGCTGATGAGCGGACAAGCAGAACGTGGTCTCTCCACACACTGGACTACTGTTTGGCTATAAAAATAAGTGTGACACATGCTACAGCGTGGGTGGACCTTGAACACGTGCTGAGTGAGGGAAGCCAGTGACAAAAGGCACCTTGTCGTATGGTTCCGTTTACAGGAAGAGCCCGGAACAGGCAAATCCACACAGACAGGAAACAGGTCAGTGGTTGCCTGGGGCTGGGGGCCCTGAGGGGTGTGATGAAAATGCGCTAGAATTCATATGCTCTAGAATCACGTATGGTTTTCCGCGTGTTTACGTCCAGTGCGAGGCAGACAATGACCTGTGTGTGTCTTCTCGTGGGACTTGAGGACCCCAGAGGAAACGAAGCCACGTCCACAGAGCTTGCACTTGTAGGGCTTCTCCCCGGTGTGTGACCGCACGTGCTGCTTCAAGTGGCTGGATTTCTTAAAGCCTTTGTTGCAATAGTCACATCTATACACACAACACAGACCACGTTAATTCACAGCATGATCACAAATGCAACACCTGAGAAGGGAAGAAAAGCAAACACTCTTCACCAACAATCAGTAAACAATCAGGCGTAACTGTTACAGAAACCAGGTATGCTCTCCAACACTTAAAACACTGAAATACTAGCAAGAAAAACTTGTTAGATCAAATTCTGCTCAGACTGTACCCTTAAACATATTTTATTATTTCAAAGTTAGTAAAACCTATAGCAAGTCTCCAGGAGAAATAAAATTTGATTAACTACAAACTATTCCTTTAAACATAACAGGGAATTTATTATGCGCTATTTTCTTTACCAAGTCATAAGATGCTGCGAGCCCTTCCGCTGCATTAGGGTCAGAATCACCTCTGACTCTAGACACTTGGAAATGTCAGTTCGTATACTCTTTAGTTGATAAAATACTTTACCAAACAGATGCTACTAGAGCTATTTTGAATAATATATAAATATGTAGTGTTATTTTCCTCTCAGTTGTTATGAAATATATTAAAATTAAGGATGAAACAATTATAAATTTCAAAATTCCTATTCACATATTATTAAAAAATTTTTTTAAATTCTGAAAGCTTACTCCATTTTATTTCCCTGTTTTTTCCATTTCCAGGTTTTAATCTGTGATAGGAAGGTACACAGAGCACACAGCTCGGCACACAGCAGCAAGTTCTTAATAAGTGTTGAATGAACGAATGGGGAATGAATGAATGGCCAGAAGTCCAGGAATGCCCAAGCAGATGTCACAAAGGAATCACAAGAAAACATTACACTAATCTCACTTAAAAATACCCGTGCAAGATCCCAAATTAAACATTAACAAACAAATACTTGTTGAATAAAGGGAAGTGTGATTTAAGTATCAGGAGGTTATATATAAAACACATAAAGAGCCGTGGACAAAAAGGCACGATATAAATTCAAGTTATTTCTGAAAACACGGTAACAGCGGCCTAGAGTGGGGACAGGAAGCTACAGCAGAGTAGTTTATGGGTACAGGCTGCTGCGTCCAAACCCTGCCCATGTCACTTATTAGCTGTAGAAGCTTTAGCAAGTGAGTCTCTTTTGTCTCAGATACTTTCTTTATAAAATGGGGGTGATAACAGGCCCTGTTTCCCAGAGCTTTTATGAAGCTGCAGGAACGGTGCAGGTGGGCACTGGGTGCAGCAGAACGGGCTGCAGCCCAAGTGCGCGCACCCGGAGGAGCGTGCGTACCTGTAGGAGCATGCGTACCCGGAGGAGCGTGCGTACCCAGAGGAGCGTGCGTACCTGTAGGAGCGTGCGCACCCGGAGGAGCGCACGTACCTGTAGGAGCGTGCGTACCTGTAGGAGCGCCGGCTCTGCTCCTCGCTGTCGTCCAGGAACGGGGGACGTGGCGCCTGCAGCTCCAGCTCCTGCTGGGATGACTCCTGAATCAAACGACTTGTCTAAAACATAGTAGAAGCACAGAGCAGACTGCTTGAGCATCTATGAATGAATACAAACACCTAACAACTAAGGATAAGGACACTCATAAATGTGGATTTAAAAGGGAGAAACCCCAATTAGGTCGTTGCAATCATCTGGGCCAAATTAATAACAAAAATCATCTATACCAATTTCAATGAAGAAATACTTATTTTATTTTCCATTAACTTGCTTTAATCTTTCCTTTTTTTTTTTGCTGTACGCAGGCCTCTCACTGTTGTGGCCTCTCCCATTGTGGAACACAGGCTCCGGACGTGCAGGCTCAGCGGCCATGGCTCACGGGCCCAGCCGCTCGGCGGCATGTGGGATCTTCCCGGACCGGGGCACGAACCCGTGTCCCCTGCATCGGCAGGCGGACTCCCAGCCACTGCGCCACCGGGGAAGCCCAATCTTTCCATATTTTTTATGTCTATTAAGAGACTACTCTTTCATCTGCTCTATTCTTACTGAGAGTGAACAAAACGCCCTGCTTTCTTAAAATACTAAGTCCCCTCGCTTGTCACAAAATCACAGGGGGAGAAAGCATGTTCCCAGCCCAGGAGCAGCAGGCCTGGAGACAGCAGCCCCTTAACTCAACACCTTCCGGCCACAGGTGGTGCAGCCCAGGGACTGGGCAAAGATCTGCAGGAAACACCCATGTTCAGTGGACAGAGCACAGGCTGACCTTCAGGACGTGGGGGACAGGCGCAGGAGAGCACAGAACAGTGGAGAACCTGCCTGCGTGCACACGTTTCCCCTGGCTTCCAGGACCCGCCCCAAAAAGCCACGAGTGAGCGGGTGTGCAGTCTTGCTCAGAGGGCTGAGTGAAGGCAAGCCACAGAGACGCATGCCCCCCACCACCCAGATTCAGCGCCTACTGTCAATTACGCAGCTTCGAGCTGGGAAAACGTACTCTGAAAATTTCGCTGGAGGGTCCAGGTCCTCCACTTGGCAAAAGTTACCCACAGGGTCTTTTAAAGAGAGAAAATAAGGACTTCCCTGGTGGCGCAGTGGTTAAAAATTCTGCCTGCCAATGCAGGGGACATGGGTTCGAGCCTTGATCCAGGAAGATCGCACATGCCGGGGAGCAACTAAGCCCTGTGTGCCACAACCACTGAGCCTGCGCCCTAGAGGCCGCGAGCCACAACTACTGAAGCCCGCGCGCCTAGAGCCCGTGCTCTGCAACAAGAGAAGCCACCGCCATGAGAAACCCGCGCACCACAACCAAGAGTAGCCCCTGCTCGCCACCACCAGAGAAAGCCTGCGCACAGCAACGAGGACCCAACGCAGCCCCCCCAAAAATTAAAAAAGTAAATATTAAAAAAAAGAGAGAGAGGGCTTCCCTGGTGGCACAGTGGTTGAGAGTCCGCCTGCCGATGGAGGGGACACGGGTTCGTGCCCCAGTCTGGGAAGATCCCACATGCCGCGGAGCGGCTAGGCCTGTGAGCCATGGCCGCTAGGCCTGCGCGTCCGGAGCCTGTGCTCCGCAATGGGAGAGGCCACAACAGTGAGAGGCCCGCGTACCGCAAAAAAAAAAAAAGAGAGAGAGAAAACAACTGATTTGCCAATCATTTTCACCACTACTGAAAGATTTCCAAAAATGGCAAAATCAATACCAAAACAAAAACTTAAATGCCTCCAACTTGACTAAGAGAGGAAAATTTTAAACGAGGCATTTAAATATGTATCTTTAGTATGTCAGCCTTCATTATATTTTCATTCTAACATGTTTCTTTAAGATTCCACATATTAAAATGCTTTGGTTTTCTCGCTAAAGCAAGGCGATATCCTTCAGATGTTACTGAAGTCAGTTACACTCTCCTGACTTTCCTGACTTTTAACAGAAAAGGTAAAGCCACATCATGGGAATGAAATCTTAAAACAAAAATGTTTTAAGGAAACAGAAGCGCTATGTGATAAACACTGAGGTTTCCACAGCTGATGCAGCAATCTTAAAGTTGCAGCAAGTTAACATGCCCTCTTAAGTAAGCAAATTTTAAATAATTACAGTGAAGAATAAGACAGAATCTGCTCAATGATGAGACTTCTGCAGTACTCACTACATTAATCGTATCAGAGCTAGGAACCGGAAGTAAGTTCTGCTGATGGAAGCTCGTGGACAGGGCTTGAGACTCCAGTGTGCTAGAATCTTGTAACTGTTGGACCGGTGGAAACTGAGTCTGTTGATTGTATGTATCAGTCACTGTAAAACCTGAAATAAATTAGAAGACATGAGTTCTACAAAAAATATTAAAGCTACACACACACACACACAAAACCAAAAAAGGTTGGTTTTACAAATAAAGGTATTTAAAGGAACATGTCTACTTTCTGAACGGGAATCAGGATTATTAGTTTTTATCAGCAGGCTCTAAAGTGATCTGCTCACAGGCAAGAGGCTACGCTCAGCTCCCATCCTTGCAGGGCAGGCTGACACACCAGCCACAAATAAGTCCCAGCTTCTACTCAATTACCTTTCCTTGGCTAGAGACCAGGTGTAGAATGGTCATTAAAGTCCCTTTCTGGAAAATCTGAACAGGCTACAAAATAGCGTATGCGTGCATGTGTACACACACGCACACGCTACCCACGCAAGATGTTATCTGGTTCGATAACTGGTCATAAATTTCAGAAGAGCACTAAAAGAAACACTCAAGCTTGCTGTAAAGTTAACCCCAACCAGGCGCAGCTCACTGGAGAGCCCCGGGTAAGGCCCACCACTGACCCTGTGACAGACCCGCTGGCTCGAAGGGCTGCGGCGGGGGAGCCTGCTCCTCGTACTGGCCCACGTGCCCTTCCAGAGTGTGCTGCGGGACCACAAGCCTGTCTGAAGACAAGAAGCACAGACGAGGGCGGAAAATTCGTAAACACGGAAGCTGCTTCACAGCTATCAACCTGTCCAAAAGGATGCTTCGGTGAGTTTCCAAAAAGCAGCCTCCTTGTTTGGAAAAGACAGTAGGAAGACAATTCATACAGAGGATACAAACTTACATATGTTGGCTAAAAAGTACAAAACCCTGCTCACAGACCAAATACTTCTTGGGACACCCATAAAGTAAACAGCAAGCTGACCGGCCAACCGTTTGTCAGGCCCGCAGGGGGCCGGAAGCCTGAGCCGACTCTGTCACTGAGCTCACTGTCCCCCCGGTGAGCCGGCATCTTTCTGCAGCGAGACCTCCCTGCAGGAGGCAGCGCGCTGGCTGAGGGGCCTCAGCTCCCGCAGCCAGCGGCACCCAGTCCACGGCCACAGGCTGGGAAGTCCGGGAGCCACGCACCAGGACACGCGTGATCACGCAGATGGGCACTCAGTGGAAACCAAAGACTCTCTCGCGGTAGGCTCAGGGGTGAAAGTGGGTGACAAGCAGCACGTATCGGAAGGTCCCATTTCTACCATTCTAAATGCACCGCAGACTCTCTCACGCTCAGACACACGGCACAAACTGCGCTTTAAAAGGTCAAGGACGAGAGGGCCAGCGGGGACTGGAGTACAAAGGGCTGCAAAACTCCTGAGAGTTAAAAGCCCTGAACCGCTCACCTTCATCTGCTTCCAAAGGCTGACCCGCCATCTGCTGGCCGAGCCCCGCCTCCACGCCGGCGGGCGGCCCCAGGTCCAGCACGGCCCCGGGGTTGTCGGCCACGGCCTCGGCGGTCGGCTGCAGCGCGGCGTTCTCAATCTCCACCTGCCCCTGGGTGGGCACGTGCATGCCCTGCTGGTCCACGGCGCCGTCATCTATCGGGCAGGCCTGCTGGTGCTGCCGGAGCTGCTGGGCAAGCTCAAATCTTCAAAAAACGGACAACAGTCCGCAGCGTCAGCTGCTGTCAAACACCGCGGGCACGCGAGGTGCGATTTATTCAGTGACAGTTTTCATTTTAAACTGTTTCACTTTGAAGTCGCGGCGGCAATCCAGTTGAGAATTAAACACTACAAATAATCTGAAAGAAAACCCCCGTGCCCTTATCTCTCAGCGCTTTCACAGACTATAGGGGCCGGAAGGCAACAAGGATTTTTCAGTCTGAACGATACAAAAGATGCCACTTTTCAAAGCTAAACTCTCCCAATTCAAATTCTGTGATGAGCTGAGGTGTTCAAAACAAGAACTGCATGAGATGAGGCAGCGCCTTGACAGACTGCTTTCAGTGTTACACACACACGTGGGAGAGACGGGACCGTCCTGCAACCTGCCAGGCCGTGGGCGGCTCACTGACCAGTGGGCCACAGGCGGCAGAACCTGGACCACGAGGCACGTGGCTGCGATGGTTTTCTGCAAAATCATTATTCCTGTTAATATTACTTTACGTGTACAAAGCATACCTGGCATATTATCATCAAGGCCAACCATTTCTCTTTCAAAGAGAAAAATGAACAATGAATTCAGTGAATGAATCAAAAACACTGGGGAAAAAACAAACAAAAACCCAGGTCAAACAATGATCTGATTAACAGGCTGTACAGTATCTCAGCCATGAAGGGGCTACTCCAGTCAGACTCACACAAGCTCTATCGGACGCTGGATGCCAGAATCACGTGAATCTGCTGATTCAGAATTCCATTCTGAGTTCCAAACAAAGTCCTTCCTCTTCATTTTCTGATATCAAAAACAGTCACTTGGGCTTCCCTGGGGGCGCAGTGGTTGGGAGTCCGCCTGCCGATGCAGGGGACGCGGGTTCGCGCCCCGGTCCGGGAGGATCCCACGTGCCACGGAGCGGCTGGGCCCGTGAGCCACGACCGCTGAGCCTGCGCGTCCGGAGCCTGTGCTCCGCAACGGGAGAGGCCACAGCGGTGAGAGGCCCGCGTACCGCAAAAAAAACAAAAACAAAAACAAAAACAAGTCACTTCTCGACTACTTTTACTGAGGAGGGGGGGAACAAAAATGTACTGAAAAGCAGCAAAGGAAAGAACACGCACTGTCACACCTCCACCACAGGGTGACTGTACAGTGGTGCCATGGGCTCACGGGGTCCTGTCCACCACCCTGATGGAGAGGAAATGTGCCCTCTGTTGTGACTGGTGGAGCCTTGTTTTCTGTCTGTTTGCCTGGATGTTTTCACAACTCTTACTCCAGCGGCTTTTTATCTTTAACGTAAGTGCATACGGCATTGTAGGAAGTCCCAAGACTTCAAGCAAAGGGATCAAACGGCTGGAGCTGCTGCCTGCTCGCGGGCAGGTTCACAGTACACGCCATCTATAAGATAAACCCCCAACTCTGCAATGACAGACCTACCCGTCCTTACGCTGCCACCTGAAAGTCATGCACACTCTCCCCTGGCGTAAGCATGGCACGTGTCCCTCAGCGGAACCCTGGACAAGCAGTGGCCAAAGCAACACTCCACTGACAGAAATGACCTGGCTAAAAACAGCTGACCCTCTTCCCGGAAATTACAGCACCGGCCTCTGAGCCTGTAAACTGTACTCCCGACACCACCACAAAAGCACACTGTGAAGGCCGGGCGTCTTGCAGAGAGGCGCCATTCACCATGCTCTGCGCAAGCTGTGGCCGCGCCCCATTTCTCTTGGCAGGGGGGCAGCAGTGCACGCTCTGAGCGTCTCCGCCCCCATGAACTCCCCAGCCCCTGAATGCGTGTGAAGCACAGAGCTTCCTCCATAAAATGCAGCCAAGTATAACTGGATATATAATTGGCAAGAGTCCCCTAACTGACACCACCAATCTCATATTCCCTAGATGGTCTCGAGAAGCACTTCAACTCCTCGGCTACATGATCAACCGTACCAAAATCGAGGAGAGTCAATTCTGTCAAGTGTGCTTCGGCATCCAGAGGGATGAAACCAGAACACCATTTCTCCGAGTTACCTTATTCTATCAGTTGGGAGTTCTGTTTGGTAGGTAATGCCTGGACAGAGACATCCGGGTTAAAATACGGCTCAAAGATAAACACTCTAGGGCAGAAGGCTAATATTCTTTCCTGGTAAGCCTGGTAACTCTTGTTCTCAAAGTCTCCTAGGAGGTGGTCGTGGTCACCTTGTCCATGCTTTCCGTTACAATACAGAATTCTGTGGCTTCACAGAAGCACCACTGAGTAAGTTCCAGACACAGTCAGAAATGCGTCTCTGTAAGGGCTCGTTGGGTCCCCTCCACTTACAGATGAGGCAGCCCTCTAAGCAAGCAAAAATCTAAGTTAGGGCTTCCCTGGTGGCGCAGTGGTTGAGAGTCCGCCTGCCGATGCAGGGGACATGGGTTCGTGCCCCGGTCCGGGAAGATCCCACGTGCCGCGGAGCGGCTGGGCCCGTGAGCCACGACCGCTGAGCCTGCGCGTCCAGAGCCTGTGCTCCGCAGCGGGAGGGGCCACAACAGTGAGAGGCCCGCGTACCGCAAAAAAAAAAAAAAAAAATCTAAGTTAGCTTTAATGATGGATTTATGTGTTAGCTAAAACGTATTTTTTTTCTGTCAACAACCTACAATAATTACCATTCAGATAACACTAATGATACGCCTAGAGGTCCCAGAGTTGACCAAGATTTTCTTTTTTGAAACCTTCGTTACCTCATTATAGTAGACACTGTCTATCTAGCATTTTATCTACTACTGATTATCAGTTTTAAGAGAGTTTAGAAAGCATTTAGGCCAACACTGACTACTTCAACACTACATTAAAAATAAAAATGATGTACTTCAGTCTATGGTTCTCAATAGGTCATTAAACACTGATACAGAAGTTTCTTTAGCTCATACACCTCCTGCTAGAAGTAATAATAAAGGGAACAAAGACAACTATTTCTTCAAAACGCTCCCCACCATCATCTGGGAATTATAAGGATTGTTAAAAAGCGACCATCAGAATTATACCTACCTATGGGTTTTCATGTGCTTTTTGCAATTTAGTGAGGTCTTAAATGTTTTCTGGCAATAGGGACACATATAGGGACGAAGGTCGTTATGGATGCCCATATGTCGCCGTAAGCTACCACCAGTAGTGAAAGCTCCATTACATATCAGACACTTGAAAGATTTAAGTCCAGTGTGCGTTCGGACGTGTGCTTTGAGCACTCCTGCAGAAACAAAGCCTCTTCCACACTGAGAACATTTAAAAGGCTTTTCACCTGTATGTGATCTAAAAAGAATAAAAATGGTCATGAATAAGCGTCTCAGGCTTTCACACTGCTTTCTAATTTAGAACGCGCTCTAGTAATTATCTCGCTTGGCCACCCCTCTTCTGAGCTCAGCAGCAGAGAGACTCGGCTCTCACGTCCCCACAACGGGGCCTGAGACTCAGCGCTCAGGTGGCTCAGCTGAAGTCCGGGGCTCGCACACAACCGACACAAAAGCAGCCCCCACATCCTCTTCTACGCTCTGTCCTCTTCTCATGACCCCTCACTGTCTCTTGTGATCAGGTTTCTATCAGTGCCTCCTCTTCACTGTCGCTACAGCCCCAAGCGTTAACCTGAAGAATACACCCGAGAAACCGTGACAGAGCAGAATCCTCAGGAAACAGACCAAACACTTCTCTGACATGTCCCAGAGATTGCAAATACTGAAATACAATAGGAGTGTAAATAAAATTCAGTGGCGGTTTGTGGGTAAAACATTTTGGTCAAGACACTGAAGAATGAAAATATCAATTATCAGTAAATATTTTGGGGTCAAAAGTGACATTTGAAATAACAAAAGCTAAGACTACCATCCTTAGTATTTCCACAAGTCACCAGATCACTAAATCGCTGTAACTATAAATTTCCATCTCTGAATCTACATTACCTTACCTGATGTGTTGTTTAAGATGGCAAGATTTTTTATAGGCACGATGACAGTAAAAACACTTGTACGGTCTATCTGCTTCATTTACAAAATTATTATTAAAATAACTTTGAAAAAGCTGGTTTCTTGGAATGGGCTGGATAAGACCTACAAACCAAAAGAAAATCAGGAATAATTCACTGTCAGTGCTACTAAGAAATGTCAAAAGGCATCTGCTTTACCCAGAAGATAAACATCCTGAGGAGCCAGATTCGTGTTGCGACTAATCGCTACGTTAATTGTGTTAGGGACTTGCTATTTAAAGAACACCTATCAGGAAACGCTTAGAGAGTTAATATAAGATAGATATTCTTTTCGACATAAGGAACATTTATATTGTCACAATTACTTCTCCTTGTTCTAGAGCCAATTTTTCATAGATTTCTACATTTAACTTTCTATATGAGCATCTGTTGGCATGCAATTTATATAAGTACATCAACATTTAGGTTAATCAGAGTTTTTAAGTCCCTTATTTGTTCAGTATGAAGACTGTACCCTAGGTACTATAACAAACTCAGACAGAAATGATTCCAACATGATCTTTTGTTCTAAGAAAGTCAGGGTTTTCATAGAAATTTTATTAAAAGAAAATCTGTAAACAGCAAAATTACAACCTTAAATATTTCAGGTTTTACATACTTTCAGTGAATAAAGAATGCCCTTAGGTTGACCGTGTAATAAGTATGTCTTGATCAAGCAACTGAATTATTTATGAAATTCAGAACAAACATACACCTGAACCCTCTGAATTACTTAATGTTTACCTGGAACGAGAGGAAGACGTACACTGTCAGTTCTACCTGGGCTGTTTGCTCCTCCTCTCTCCCAGACAATGCAGCTATCAGCCAAGACTCTGGACTGGCCACACTCCCTGCTCCCTCAGCTGTGCCACTCACTTCCATGCGATGATTACCAACAGGCACCTCCTAACAACACTGTTGTCCAGACTGTCCCTAACAGTGCGGGTTACAGCTCAATCCTGTCCCCTAAAACCTGCTTGTTCCTCCCAACTCTCCTAGTTGTACGTAAGGAACCCCATCCGCCTAGTCATGCAGGGGCCAGGGATTCCAGACTTCTGGAGCCGCTCGTCAAGTGTGCCATTTGCCAGTCCTGGAGATCCCACTTTTCAGTGTTCTTAAACTTGTTTCCTCGTTTCTATTTCCACTGCTATTTCTATTTCGCTTCGCTCGCATGTGAGACTTAACTGAATGGACCCGCGCTTCCCGATGCTGCACGAGAGCTCATCTACTTTTCAAGGAGAATTCAGAACCTCCCTTGTGGGACTGCCCTGGCGGTCCAGTGGTTAAGACTCTGCCCTCCCAAGGCAGGGGGCGCAGGATTGATCCCGGCTAGGGAGTTAAGATCCCACATGCTGTGTGACACGGCCAAAAAATAAAAAAAATAACAGAACCTCCCTTGTGATTGATGTGTGTACAATCCACAGGGCACACACTCGAAGAGCTGCCAAACCTTCTCCCATTTCACAAGGATTCAGGACTGGGGAGATGCATGGGGACCACGCAAAGCCCTGCCCTCCTGGCAGCTCCAGCATCGCTCTACCCTTCACGGCATCGCCCTGCTTTTTCCCAGCAACTCCTCTCTCGCGCTCAAGAAGAGAAAACTTCAGTCCCTCAGTCCACCCCACCACCTTCCCCAGGACACACGCGCTAAGTCTGCTGCAGACAGGCTGACAACGCCTGGCGCTCAGAGGCAAGATGGCCGTCCAAGGGCCGATTCCCAAACCCAGACGCACGTTCACTCTTCTGCGTGGCTCTGTGTCAGACACGCACCTAGACCAGCCTCCTGAATGTTCTGCTCTGCCTTCTCGTGTCACCAGCAGAAGAATGTCCCTGGCACAGTGCGCTGGGACCCGAACGGCAATTTGCTCAACCACCTCCCGTGGTCTGCCACCGAGAACGGGGCCACCGCGGCCACCAGGCTCGGCCTCCTGGCCCCAGTCCCCACCTCTCTCCACACCCACCGCCAGGTCCTACCCAGGCAGCTTCATGCTGTGATTCTTAACGAGCCTCACTTTCCCACCTCCACACGCTCACTCATTTCTGTCCCAGCACTTGTCACTGCTGGTTCTGTTTTCTCTTTCCCCACTCCCTGGGCTATAGCTTCTGGAGCCTGGGGCCTGCCCCATGGTCATAGATGTAGCCCTGAGCCAAAGAGCACTGGCCAAGTAGGACACGTAGATACGATCGAATATACTAATGATCCTGTTCTCAGTGTTTACAAAATCCGAGAAAGAAAGGAAGGAAAGAAGCACGCACAAATTCCAACCAAGATCGTTGATTCACGGTCTGACACTCAACCTTTATTCGACATCTACTTTCAGGGAATCATGTTAGATTCTATGAAGAGAACAGAAAACTGAAGTGAGTATTTTCCAAACTGGCAGCCAAAAAGGGTGGCTCCTCTGGTCACTGCGAAGCTTGTGAAACTGTGAACCTCAAATGCTCTGCAAGGAAGGTCCACAGGCAACACATAATAGCAACTGTTAGGCACAGTTCCCTGGTATCTTATGCAAACAGGTTCAGTAACTATTAGCATAAAGTACCACTTAATTAAAACTGTAAGCTCCAAGTAATATTTGATAAGCCATTTTCTTGTTCATTGCTGAACTTAATGGAATGAGTGATTTCTAAGAAAAACACCAATAAAAAAATTTAAAACTCTCCTCCCACAATTAAATTGGGCTGTACAAACGTGAGACATTAATTTTATAGACTTCATCAGACAAGATACACATTAAAAAGCAACACAGGAAAGTGAAATAATTTTAAGCAATTAGTTATATAAATTGTATAAATTCGTGAAAGTAGGTAAAGTAAATGAAATTCACAAGGTAATTTTTAAAAAGTAAAAACCCTCCTATAGTCGTCTTGTATCTGTTTCATAGGGAAAAAAATAAGATATTCACAAATAAGGAAACAAAGTATTGCTTTTGCCATTTCCCACATCAAAAAAAAAAAAAAAAAAAAAAAAAGCCGTACTGGGTGCTGGGGGCAGGGCTGTGCAGGGGTTCACTGCCTCCCAGTCAGACCTGAGGTCAGTTAGCAAAGCGGGGCTCCGGGTGAGTGCCTCCCTAGCCTGCAGTGCAGACACAAAGTTCATCAGACGGCAGAGCCGGGCTGCACCCCTAAGGCTCCAGGCTGCACCCGAGTCAGCACCTTCACAGAGCTCGCCACCCGGCTGCCGCGGCAGGCCCTGACTTCCGGCCTGCACTGAAGCAGCCCGACGCCAGAAGCTACCGGGAGACTTCAGACTGGCTGTCTGCGCCAAGCCTTGAAGCTGTGAGCCCTGTAAGGCCCACAGACGATCCTCCTCTCCAAGTCACCCCCATTCTGGTGCAGGGTCCCCCCTCCAGCCCCACTGTTCTCCCAGCTCTTTCTCCTGTGGCTTCTGGAACCTACGTTCCACAGCAAACAAGTTCTCCATCATAAGCAGGTCCCATAAACAGAATGTTCAGTTACTCCTTTCTTTTCCGAAACAGCAGGTCTGTGGTCGAGCGGCTGGCCTGGACGCTCTGGCTCCTAAGCCCCGCTCCAAGCCTGAGGGGCTCGAGCCTCCTGTCCTGGCCCAGCTCTGCCTCCCAGCCTGCCTTCGCTTCCTCCCCAGTCCCACCTGCCCTCCACGAATCGAATCCCTTTACCCCAGTCCCTTGCCAATACGCTCTTGTGCAAGTCCTCTGGCCCTTTCTCAAATAATTCACAAGATCGTAAAAAGAAAAACAAAAGAATGTGCCCAGTAACACCCCTCAGAGACAACCACAGTGAACGGTTTAGTAGCCACTCTAACAGAAGAGTTTGTAATGTGAAAACATAAGTGGGATCAACCATACACACTGTTCTGGAACTACCTGTCCATACTTCATACATATACTTAACTCTCCAAGTCATTACATATGACATCATCCCCATCACCCTTTGGATGCTGGCAAGGAATTCCACCGTACCAGTGTACCCAGTTCCCTTAATGCACGTCTGGCGGACATTCTGCCTGTTTCTAACTGTACACTACTGCAGGGCTGCAATAAACAATCCAGTATATACAACTGTTACCTTATGTCTCCCCGCTAGACACAGAATTATAGTCTCTGGGCAGCATCCAGGTATATTTATTTTTAAACAGAACCCCAGATGATTCTGAGATCTTTGGTGGGGAGGGGAGGAGTCCCACCTTGAGCTCCTCAGAAAGTGAAATAACAGGCTTCATTTTTCCGATGCTTTATTTTTCACGTCTAATAATTTTACAAAGTTCTGTTAAAAAGCTAAGCTAGGGCTTCCCTGGTGGCACAGTGGTTGAGAGTCCGCCTGCCGATGCAGGGGACATGGGTTCGTGCCCTGGTCTGGGAAGATCCCACATGTCGCGAAGCGGCTGGGCCCATGAGCCATGGCCGCTGAGCCTGCGCGTCCAGAGCCTGTGCTCCGCAAC